GTGCTTCAGCCGTCAGATTAGTCTGGCCACCAGATCCTCCGACCATCCTCGTGCGAGATCGTGTGCCGGTCGCCACTTTTCAGATGTCGTAATTTTCGGTGGTGACGGTGCGAAGGATTCCAGAGTCGCTCTCATACCATGTTGCGATCAGAAGTTGATCGTAACCCAGGATCTGCTCTGGTAGGTTCGCACGCAGTGGGTAGTGTTGGTGGGCCCTTGACCTCAATAGCAGAGTGAATGTAAAATGCTTGAGATGATAAAACATGCAAATACGGCGATATAAATATGAGTACAAGGGAATTCGAAACGACCTAACTAGCCATGTACTCTAAGGGGTACATTCCCTTATTCAGATCGTCCCAACCGTTCGGCGCGTACAGTTTCGTAACTGTTCCCGCCAAACCATCCTGACTATAGTTGTCCGATGCCGTTTGCTTCCGACGGTTCAGATGTGCTGTAAACGTCCGACTCCTTGACTCAATTCCAACCGTCTGACGCTTGCGTTCGTTCCCGATATTGTGCGTGCCTTGCTACAGTGAGGAGTGCTTAGTTCTATTGAATATTACTATTCGTAACAGCTACCACTGTGTGCACGAATTGTGGGGTGTCTTCGTTGTGCAACTTCATGCACTGGCGAAGCGCTCGCCCGTTTCGCCAGCTGTTCGGACGTGCTGCAAATCACACACGCTCGCATGAATGTGCGCATGCACGTTTTCGCCTCCGACTCGAGTCAAGTTCATATTTCAAACTCGAACTTTTGCAGAGCCCATACAATGCTTGGTTCGCGAAGCACCCTTCGCCAAATTAGCGAATAGGGTATCCACCCAAAGTTCGAACTTTATTTTGAACTTCTAAACAGACCACACGCGCCCTTAGCATTCCTTTGTTTCTGTGCTGCGAGGTGGCTGCATAGCTACCGGTATCAGCCGTGGCCGTTGCATAAGTGCTTATGCTATTATTTGCCACTCCAACAGAAACTCGACACTCCTCCAGAGATACGATGCCACAATAACATATCTAGATGACGCCAAGGTGCAGTTAAAATGTATACATGCATTATGATACGAAGCTATCAATAATTGCGAATGCAATATTAACATACACAACAATTCCGATGTATGTTTCAATTAAGATCGAAGCGGTGGCGGTGAGGACGTGTCCAAGTCCAATCAGCAAAGTGCAATAAAGGCCATATTTCTGTCAAAGTAAATATTGTGACTAGTTGGTTGGACACTTATCTGGGTTGTAATCTGGGAAACTTTAACCACATTAATGACGTTTTTTTTGGCCTAAAAATGCCTGTTGTCCACGAACGTGTCACAACGGTGCCAACAAACTTGGCATATCGTATCTCTGACTTGTGGGTTTCTGACGCCGTCCCGTTACAGTCCCTCCAGCTGTCCCCTTGAGGCCGAACAAGAGAAGCAACGCAAGACTTTCGAAGAAACAGCAGGCACATTCATAGAGAATTGAATGCTGTCCAATAAGGCGAGGTGAGGTGGATTCAGATATTTTAGATGCCACGCAACACTCCCTAGCCGATAGTTCAACTGCATACTACCAGTGTCCCATTTGAACGAAAAGAACAGAATAAATATGGTGACTAGTCAGGCACATAAATGTTTCATATGACTTACTATATTGGGAGAAAAAGAGACAGTCAGAAACAATGGTCATGCCTGGAGTTTTTATTTTAGGTTTCAGGAATATGTAAGAAAATAGTAACATGTGTAGTAGGTTTTTATGATTTTTACACATTCCTTTCGAACAACATACAACAATGGTTGTAAAACTGCAGTTATATTGGCTGTAAAATTGTAAAATATCATTATTATGCTACTTATAAAATACAAGTTTTGATGAGATGATTGAAAAAGTGGTCAAACGGAGCCTTTCTAGTTCAAAACATAAATAATTCATCAACATATTCTTGCTCACATATACTACCGAATATTTTTGTTTCACATGCAACATAAGATCAGACCCCGCGGACAGTCTGAACTTCCCAATAGTTTTCCAAGGAAATGCTGGCACTGAATGGGAAACATGCTAATTGTGGAATCCTGCTGTATGCTTTCACTGAATTGCCCACATTCTACCAGCAGCATCCCCATTGCTGCGTACATTGTGGATTGTGCACATTTCACGAGCAGCACGTGTCCTTGGTGCACATACCACAGTCATTGGCAAGACAAGCAACATCATAGAGCCGCTCTGCACAACAAGAACATCGAGGGGGAGAGCATTCTTTGCACCTTGTTTCGCGTTTGTATCATTTTTCTTGCAGCGTCTCCATCATCCAAGTTTCCAGAATATAGGTCGGGAGGAGTTGTGTCAGTCAAAACTCCAGCCGTCACCTCGAGCCTGAAAAGGGGAAAGGCAGAAACTGGTGGATCTGTCTTTTGGGAACGCAGCCTTAACATGGTCTTGAGATTTGTCCCCGTGAAACGGGAGATACAAGTGTTCTGGGTTAGAGGCTCTCGCTGAGAGAGGCTTTTTTCCCCCCTGAGTAGAATTTCCCGATATCTCCTAGGGTTGGCCCGTACCCTATAGTCCCTTTTCTGGCGGGAACTTTTGCATCTTGACCAAGTCATTGCACGAATCAGCTCCGCAGTCAATCAGAGGCTCCAAATCAAACCAGCCCAACATTCAAGGAAGACGATGAAGAAAGGATCATCGATTCGACATTTTAACTTCTAGATGGTAAGCGATTGTTACTATTGACGGCGACTTCTTCTCAATCCTGTCGTGCTGTCTCATGCGCGAACGACGATGACATCATATTTATTTCGATTACAAAAATTAAAAAAGTTTTGGGTTAGATTACTATTCGACCCCAAAACCATGGTTGATTTTCTTTAGTTTTGCCTGTTAGTCATGCGACATTGATCAGCGTGGAAAACCGTGCGACTGGAAGTTGAAGCAAGCGCGGTCCAAATCTACCTAAATGCCAGAATCCAGAAAATAGTAGCGAAACAACCACTCTTTATAGAATTTTCTTGAAGGGGACTTAAGTATCGCGTTTTGCCAGGGGTTTGAAGGTTTTCGCACAAGTCTGCGCGCGGCGATGTTGATTTATCAGACTATAAACAAGAACAGGTGTAGACCAATGTCTCACAGTGAGATCAAACCGGATTGGATCGCTTCCCTGCCCATCCGACGAACAGTTGTTGCGATTCCGTCTGGATACACTGTCCTGCTGTTCTGGTCCGTGATCGGCAACAAGCAAGAGGCTGGCGCGAGCCGCCCGTGGATCTGAGATTAGCCACGGGATTGGAAGAAAACCAACCCACTGGAAACCACGAGATGTAACCATGGGCCCGTCGTTTCATTGCACATGGCAAAGTCAGTGGTGCACGCACACCAGCTAGCGGGCATGCATTTGGCCTTAAAACAAAGATTATCAGTGGTGTGCGTTACACATAATTATTCGTTTATCTCGCCAAAAGCGTTTCGGTCAGAGGTGCTTGTCATTTTTGTCCGGTGCTTTTAACGTCTGCGAGTCACATTTCCCTGGGTATTGCCGTCCCTTGCTCCCAAAATGTGGCTATAAATACGTTTTTGCAACTGTAGGCCGGCCTGACCTAATCATAACTAATAAATTTGGCCTCGTCTTTAGCGCGAATGCGTGCAACTGTAGTGCTCTGCCACCAATTTTCTTCAACGTTTAGCAATTCAATGCTGAAATGATCACGCGTGTGAATCGATTCAATGACATAAACGCATCGTTCCCAACCTTCTATGTGAGAGTAATGATCTTGTTACACAATCGCGGATGCATCAAACGAATACGTGGGTGTACACTCCGTCCCTCGCTCCTCGGCCAGTCACCAGTGCTGGTTCCTTTCCCTACCCACCCCCAACCTCTTGAGGCGTGAAGAGTCTTCGGACCACCAATCCCGCTCCCATGATCAGAACTGGACTGGAGCCCCTCGGTCGAGTGTGGCGGCTAGAAGTACAGTAGATGCAAGATTTCAAAGATGCTGCAGCGAGAACCACCAGACCTGCCATCATTTTCTCGAAGTTGCCGGAGGAGTGGCGTGGGAGTGTGAGGGAGGAGTCTGAGGGTACGTAACCGCTATGTTCTGTAGCAGGGCTGGTTGTACAGAACTGTAGTGTAGTTCAGTGAAGCACATTGATGCCCCACGATGATGATTCCTAACTCTCGGCAAAGGCAGTACAGTGCTGCAGGCGACTCGAAAGGCGCCCCGGCGCTGAGCTTAGAGAAGTCCTTTTTTTGTTGGTTTCAAGTGAGGAGCGCAGCTGCACAGTGACAACGAGGTCTTCCAAGCGTTACAATTTGATACGATACGGTGAAACTGTACCTACGACATGAGCCCGTACGAAGAACACGGCGCGACTCGGTCTTTGGGGCTGAATGCACGCAGTACAACACAATATCCGCTGCCTTACTCGCGATTGCGGCGGCAAGCTCTCACCTTCACGCCAGGGGGGCTGACCGACGGAGTCAGTCAGTGGCAGGAGGCAGCCCGACGGAAACTGACTGGGGCGGCATAGTTAGTCGGAAAGGAGAACCTAGTACACCCTCTTTCTCATTACACTGAACTGTGCTGAACTGATGGAAAACCTAGTTACCTTCGATTTGTCTGATTGAACCATACCTAGACTTAATCTAACCACCGTTAACCGTGCTTTTCCCATCTTGACTTCACTATAACCGAATTCACAATGGCGAGAAAGAGCTTCGAGCTAAGTTCTTCGCAAAGACTCCCAGTTCGCAGCAGCTGCTGCTGCCACTACGAGCACCACCCGCAGCATTATTAGTGATACTCGCCGTAGAGTGCGGGGAAAAAGAAGCCTCCCCACCCGGTTGATTTCTCTCAGCGCGCCAAGCTTTCTAAGCACCCGCGGTTGCTAAGAGTACTAAGCCTGCGGCCACTTCTATTTGCTTCCTGCGAAGCAGCGGAAGCGGTTGACGCTGCTCATCAGTATCGCCACTGCTGATCTTCGGTTGCTTTTTTCCGCACAATATAACAACAATGGCGGCGGCGGCGGTCAAGTCATCACGGCGCGGCGGCGGCGGCGGCTCGGGGGAGGACTTCAGCGCGTGGTTGGGCGGCGCGGGGTACAGCGAGGGCGACGTGCGTGACATCGTGGCGGATACGCTGCACGGATCGCGCTCCGACCCCACGTGCGAGAACTGGGAGGAGGTGGAGCAGCTGTGCGATCATCTGGACCGTTGGTCGCCCGAGGAGCGCATCACGATGCTCGATATCGTCGTGGCGGCGAGCGCGGACGACGATTCCGGATCGGATCTCGAGGGTGGGAAGGATGATGAGCGAGACGTTGTGTACGTGGTTTCCGGCACCGCGACTGCTGCGGCGGCAACGGCGGTGTTAAAAGCGCCGGACGGTGCGAGCGATGTTGTGGTTTGTGGTGGTGATGGCGAGGGTGAATCTAGCCGCTCCAGCACCAGCAGCACCGGCAGCACCGGCAGCAGCGGCAGCAGTACCAGGCCCAGCAGCGCAGGCAGCATCGGCAATGTCGCCATCAGAAGCACCAGCACCAGCACCAGCAGCAGCGGCAGCAGCAGCGGCGGGAGCGGTCCCCTTCGCAGCATCAATCGCAACGAGGCAGGAGCCTCTACAAACTCGGGATCGGTTCTCAAGGCAACCCCCGCGGGATGGGGCACGCACATCACGCGCACTTGCAGCACCCCCGACTCCCGCACCACGCCCGCGCTCCACGCGCCCGCCAGCCCCGACCTCCTCGCGCGCGCGGCAGGCGGAGCGGCTGCGGCTGCGGCTGCGGCGGCGTCGGCGGAGGCGGCGGCGGCGGGGGCGAGCAAGCTGTCGTTCAGCGGGCCGTTGCAGCTAGCGCGGAAGCTGACGGGCCTGAGCGGGCGCGGCAGAGGCGGCAGCCCAACGTCCAGTGCTGTAGAACGCAGCGGCAGTCCCATTAACAATGGCAATGGCAATAGCAACGGCAATGGCAGTGGCAGTGGGAGAAACAGTGGGCTCTCCGGAAGGAGCTCTTCCCCCACACCCCTCTCGCCATCCCCTCTCACCAGCCGAAGACGGCTCGCGCTAGGCGCGTCAGGTGCTTCAGCGTCCCGCACGGGGTCTCCGCTCCGGGTGACCCTGTGCCGCGCTGCATCGTCTAATCCTGGGGAGCTGAGTGGCGTGTCTACTGCAGCGGAGAGGCTGATTGTTGCTATGGGGACTCATGCTAGCAGCACGAGCCTTCCCGCTTCATCTGTCAGCTCACCAGTTGGTAGCGGCACCTTCCTGGGTTCCAGCCTTTTTTCCGCAGGGGCCCGCGCAGCAGGCGTTGGAAATTCGGATGATCCGTCGAAAGAATCTTCAGATGGAGCTCGTGGAGAAGATTCTGGGAACCTGCTCCCCGGCAGGAACCAGAGGTTGTTTCGTGCAGGAGTGAGTGACAAGAGCGCCAGAGTGCGTGTTAACTTCCGCAGCATGGGAGGCAAGGAGGATAATGCGGAAGGCGAGAGGAGCGGCTCTGCTGCTGCTGCTGGTGGTGGTGGCGACGTGGGTGTTGCTGTGTCGTATCTTGATTCGGTGGGGGCAATGGTCACGGGTGTGGAACTGGTGCTGGATGAGAGTGGTGAGGACTGTACAGGCCTGTACCTTTCGTGTCAGCCGGCTTCCGTGTTGGCAGATAAGGCAGGAGCAGCAGCAGCAGGAGGAGGAGCAGTAGGAGGAGCGGCAGGAGAGGCAACTGCTGCGCCCCTGCACTCAGCGCCCTGCAGGCTTCAACTAGACCAGCAACAGATAGGTTCCGACCTTCTCCTAGCTTGAATCTGAGTGGTGGTTGCTTTGCTTCCTTTTCCTGTTTTCTTCTCTACTGCTTTTCTTCCCATTGGTTTCCTGCAGAGGTAGTACCAGTTGGGGACTATACTGGTAGTTGAACTATCATGCCATACCTACTTAAGCTGGCCCATCCACCATACAAATGTACATTCGCGTACCAACCATATATTGTACACCGTTACATTGAGTTCTGCCAAAGCTGATTCTATTTTGCCCGCATATATTCTTTCTGAAGCGGGCCCTCAGATTCGTTTTTGGTCTGTCTGATTCGTCAGACTAGTACACAGTTTTAGTCTGAAAATCTCAGACTTGGTATGGAAAAAAGGCTGAAATTTCAGAGTGTCTTAAAACAAAAATCTGATCATTCAAAATCAATGTATTCAATGTTTCATCGGAACTGTATTCAATGTTTCATTCATCTGCTATCGAAACATGCTCTGACAGGGCAAATATATGTGTCGGCAAATCTGCAATGTCAGGGCGATTTTGTTGTGATTGGGCGAAGATTGTTGTACTCTGACAGCGCAAATCTGTTGTGTCAGAGAGATTTTCCTATGATTGGGCGAAAATCTAGTGCTGTAAGACTCGGATTTGCTGTGTCAGTGCGAGTCTGCTGTGACCCCAAGTCCGAATCACCAGTCAAGGACGCGTTAGTACTCTGAATTATCAGAGTACACTCTCAGAAAACTCTGAACTCTCAGAGTTAGCCTTTAAAAAATTCTGAAAATTACAGAGTTGCGGCCCAAAAAGTCTGATTTTATCAGAGTACACAAGAAAAAAATTCTGAAATATCAGAGAAAAAAGTCCAAATCAGAGAAAAAAGTTTGACTTCTGAGGGCCTGTTCTGAAAGCATTGCCTTGCTGTGAGTGTTGGCAAGCCAAACCGAATTTTTGGTTCACCCATTCTACTACCAGTACTTGTGCCATATTGTTACGGGTGCAATGAATCGAGGTAGCGAGAATTGCACTAAGGTGTCAAACGAGTACAAAATGTGAGCGAAGGCATGAGCGAACATTTATACGCGAAACATGCAAAACGGTAACGCGGTGCGTGCGAGCTTGCTAGTGCTACGCTGGAGCGAGGCCCGGGCTAGTCCCGAAGCGTAGGCCGATACGGCCATGCCAGCAGTGCGAGGTTTGGCAAAACAGTGCGCTTGAAGTCGACGAAGTTCCGTTAGCAGTAACGGGCGAACAATCGGCTGTTGCTGTACGCGATGTAGTCGGCTCCGTAAGGAATGCCGAGAAAATTCCTTACACTACCCCCCCCCTTAAGAAGCCCCCTCCGCTACGCGAGTGCGTGTATATCGCGGAATCCCCGGCTCCTCAGGTACACTTGCAGGGCAGAGTGGTTTTCGATGTTGGTCAGGGGCACCCAGCTGTCTTCAGTTGGTGTGCGGTCCTTCCAGCGAACGAGGAATTCAATCCTCCTGATTCCCGTGGGGTGGCGGATCCGATGGCTCAGGATTTTTTCGGGCTCGATGATCGGCTCCGATGCAGGGCGAGTCATTGATTGTGGGCGGTGACGCGACAGTTGACTTGTGGTCGGGATGTATGGGCGAAGTAGGCTGACGTGGAACGAAGGGCTGATGTACCAGTCGGTTGGCAACAGTAGATGTGCGGTGACGGGTGTGATCATGTGACTGATTTGGAATGGTCCACAGTAGCGCGGTCGTAATTTCGGTACGTCGGGCAGTCGCAGATTTTGCGTGACGAGCAGCACGTAATCTCCAAATTGGTACGTGACAGGGCGGCGGTGGCGATCAGCGTTGCGCTTAGCGATGACGTTGGCCTTTTTTATTGCTTCGGCGGCTCTGGCGCGGGCAGCTTGCAGGACTTCGGCGAATTGTTGTGCACGTGGCGTTGGGTTGTCCGGACTCGGCGTCATGGGCACTGTGGGGTTTTGCCCATAGTTCAGGTAGAACGGGGACTGCTGCGTCGTGGCTGATGTGGCGTTGTTGTACGCGAACTCGATCAGCGGCAGCTGCTGCTCCCAGGTCGTGGGGTCGTCGCACGTGGCACGAATCAACTGCTCCATCGTCTGATTCGTCCGCTCCGTTTGGCCGTCGGTCTCGGGGTGGTACGACGAACTGAACTGTAGCCTGGTCCCGAACTGCTCCCAAAGGTTCTTCCAGAAGTTGCTGGTAAACTTCGTGTCCCTGTCGCTGATAATTGCTGCTGGTATCCCGTGCAGGCGAACAACGGCTGCGATGAACAGGCGAGCGGTCTCCTCGGCTGAGATCGACTTTTTGCACGCAGCGAAGTGTCCCATCTTCGTCAGCCTATCCACGACGACCATCACCGCGTCGTTACCCCCAGGGTTCGAAGGTAACCCTGTGACGAAGTCCATGGTTACTTGCTGCCAGGCGCGTTCGGGCGGTGGGATCGGCTGCAATTGACCCGCCTTCCGCTTCCTTGAACTCTTCATCACCTGACACGTAGGGCACGAGCCCACGTGCTGCTGTACGTCAGTCAACAGCTCCGGCCAGTAATAATACCGCTGCAGTTGCTGTCGTGTTTTTTCTACCCCGAAATGTCCCGAGGTAATCCCGTCGTGTGCCTCCTGCAGTAGCAGCTCCCTCAGTAGTGAGTACGCGGGTACCCAAATGCGGTTGGTGCCTGTTTTTACGTAATAAACTCCTTTTGCTTCTGCCAGTTGTTGTGAATTCCCGGTCGTGAAAAATGGGTCGGTGCGATATCCGTGGGTGAATAGGTCAGTTAAAAGCGGGTTGGTCTGGGCGAGTAGGATGGCGTGGAGTTGGGCAGTGGGGCGGGTGAGAGCGTCGGCGATGTTGGATGCGCCTTTTTTGTACGTAACGGTGTAGTGAAAATTGGACTCAAGATAGTCCAATCAGCGAATTTGTCGTGGGTTGAGATTCGTTTGGGCGCGAAGGTACTGTAGTGAGCGGTGGTCTGTCCGTACTGTCACGTCGGCGCCAGTCAGGTAACACCGCCAAACTTTGAACGCGTGCACGATCGCCAGCATTTCGCGGTCGTGTATCGGGTAGTTGCGTTCGGGCGGGTGTAGCTTGCGGGACTCGTACGCGATTGGCTGGAGGCCGTTCCCGAAGTCCTGCAACAGTACTGCTCCCACAGCGATGTCACTTGCGTCGGTGACGAGCTCGAACGGACGGTGGGGATCTGCGATGTGAAGCACGGGCGGGGAGCACAAAATATTTTTGAGGGCCGAGAAGGCAGCTTGCTCTTTCTCCCCCCACGTGTACTCAACCCCCTTCCTCAGCAGGTCAGTCAACGGGGCAGTCAGCTTCGCCATGTCGGGGACGAACCGGCGCACGTAGTTGACGAACCCCAGGAAACTCTGCAACTCGGTCAAGTTGGTCGGCGCGTGCCAAGCCTGAATCGTCGCAATTTTCTTCGGGTCTATTTCCACTCCCGCAGCTGAAATAACATGTCCCAAAAACTCCATGCGGTCCTGTAAAAACTCACACTTAGATGCTTTGGTCAGTAGGCGGTTCTCACTCAGGATTTTAAAAACTGCTTCGATGTCTTGTAAGTGCTGTGCTCTGTCAGGGCTGTAAATCAGTATGTCGTCCAGGTAAACGATGACGCACTTATCTAAAAGCGGGCGGAATGCTTCGTTCATGGTCATTTGGAAGGTGGCGGGGGCGTTGGTCAGTCCGAATGGCATGACAGTGTATTCGAAGGATCCGTAGCGTGTTCGGAATGCGGTTTTAGGGCAGTCGGGTGGGTTGACGCGGATTTGGTGGTAGCCTCCCCGGAGGTCAATTTTCGAGAAAACCCGGGCTGTGCGCAGTTGGTCGATCAGTTCGTCGGCTCGTGGGATGGGGTAACGGGATTTGATGGTAACCCTGTTCAGTGCTCTGTAGTCTATGCACATGCGAAATCCCCCGTCTTTTTTCGGTGTGAACAGTATTGGTGCGGCGAAGGGGGACGAACTAGGGCGAATGAATTCCTTCTCGAGCAGGTAATCGAGCTGCTTCCTCAGTTCGTCTAGTTCGGGTTGGGTCAGTCGGAACTGTCGCTGTACTGTTGGCTGTGCCCCCGGTTCCAGTTCTATCTTGTGATCGTGCAGTCGCTGAGGTGGCAGTCCCGTCGGTAAGTCATCCGGGAAAATGTCACTGTACCGTGTTAACAGTGCTGCCAGATCACTCGGTACGTCGGTCAGCAGTTTCTGTAAATCCCCTCCCTTGTCTGCTGCCTCGGCTTCCCGAATGTCAACCGCGTACACGTCAGCTCCGGCCGCTACAGCGCGTTTCATCGTGATCGCGTTGACACGCACCGACGAAGACTCAGGCGAGCCCCAGCGAGGTAAGGCGGTGTTGTTACCGTTCACTCGCACGGTGCAGTCACCCGTCGTCCAGTCAATTCGCGGATTGTGTCGTCGCAGCCAATCACGCCCGAGTAAAATGTCGGTTCCGTCGAGGGTCGTTGCGAGCATTTCCTGGCTAAACGTGAAGTTACCCCCGCATCGAATCCGAACTCGGTCTACGCGTTCCCGTATTGCCAGCGGCGTGCCGTCTACCAGTCGTGCGTCGATCTCAGGTAAGCACCTGTCCAGTGGCAGTCGCAGTTTTCATGCTATAGCAGTGTTAATGAGGCTGTGGCTGGCTCCCCCGTCTACGAAGATTTTAACTAAGTCCGTCCCAATTTTCCCACTGAGCAGTATAGGGCTGTCTACCGTGGTACCCTCCTTATTCGGCCGGGTGTGGTCGATTGCGTGAACCGGCACAATCACTCGGTGAGGGTCGGTTGGGTCGGGCGAGCGGCGTGACCTGTCAGTAGAGGGCCCGTCTGCTACTGACTTCCAGCGTTTCCCTGCTGCTTGGTCTGTGTCTGCTGCTCAGCTTCCCCCTTTCCCTTAGCGTTTTCCGGGCATTCGCTCTTGCGATGTCCCGGCCGATTGCACGCAAAGCAGCGCCCTTTGAATGGTGCGGCAGCGTCATTTGCGGCGACGGCGCATATCGTGGCGCTCTCGTTCGTCCCACGAGGCCGATGTCCCCAGTTGTTGTTTCCGTAGGACCCCGGTCTCGGTCGGCGAAAGAAGTCGAGCTTCTCCGCCATAGCGAGAATTTCCTGAAATTCGGTGACGCCGCGAAGCTGGATTTCCTGAGCGATGTCCTGCTTCAGGCCGCCGATGTAGCGGTCGATGCGCTCGCTCTCATGCATGTAGCCCACCTGTTCGCATAGCGCCAGAAATCCGCTCGTGTAATCCTGGACGGAACTGAGTTGGCGCCAAGTGCGGAGCTTCTGTCGCGCCGCGATCGAAGCCGCAATTGGCTCAAATCGAGCGCGCAGACCTGCGCACCACGCGTCCCACGTGCGATACTGGGGCACCTCCACGAAGTACGACGACGCCCAGGGTCCGGTTTGTCCTTCCCGTGTCGGTAGTGTCGCGTAGTCTGTCGGCTTCGTGACGATGACGCGCCACCAGTCCATGGCGGGTCCTCGCAGCAGCGACACGGCGTATCGAATCTTCGCCGAGTCCTCCGAGACGTAGTTGGCGTCGAAGAAGACATTCATCGTGAATAACCACGCCTGAACGGTAGGACCACCCCGTTGACTCGGGTCAAAGCATGGCGGGCGCTGCGGCTTCAGCGGCATCGGTGACGGCAGTCCCGAATCATGGGTGGGTGCCGAAATCGTGACGCGAGGCTGACTTGGGGCCGCATTCGTCGCTCTGGGGTGTGTCGTGCCGTGGTCGTCGTCCCCGTCGGGGCGGACGACGCCATCACTGGCCGCGCTCGCGGGTTGCCCCACACTCCCGTGTTGTGATGTCGAGGGTGCAGGTTGAATCGGAGTGCCAGGTGCTTGAGATTGTGCTTGTTGTGCCCTCGTGAGGTCATTTTGCAACGATGAGCGTTCTGCCGTCAATGCCGCGATTTCCTCGGAACTTTCGTGCAGCTGTCGCAGCAGAATGTCCAAACGCTCCTGCGTGAGGGTGGTGACGTCGATATTTTCAGCCATGACGAAGGGCGTCGGCTCGTCTTAGTCTAGGCGCAGTCGTGGCTGCACGCGTTTACGAGAGAACGCGAGGGCAGCGGCTCCTAGGGGCTAAGGTGCGTAAGTCCCTTCGAGTGAAAAAATCAAAAGTTGATTTCCTGGTGTGCGGAGATGCGCGGTCCGAAAAGAAAGGGGCTCTGATACCAAGTGTTACGGGTGCAATGAATCGAGGTAGCGAGAATTGCACTAAGGTGTCAAACGAGTACAAAATGTGAGCGAAGGCATGAGCGAACATTTATATGCGAAACATGCAAAACGGCAACGCGGTGCGTGCGAGCTTGCTAGTGATACGCTGGAGCGAGGCTCGGGCTAGTCCCGAAGCGTAGGCCGATACGGCCATGCCAGCAATGCGAGGTTTGGCAAAACAGTGCGCGCGAAGTCGGCGAAGTTCCGTTAGCAGAAACGGGCGAACAATCGGCTGTTGCTGTACGCGATGTAGTCGGCTCCGTAAGGAATGCCGAGAATACCCTGGCACATATCATAGTGTGAAAGATGCAGTACATCGTGGTAGGGTACTACTCAACAAACCAGTTCTACATATGGAAACCTTATCGGTACAAATGCGGTACCTAGGTTGGATGAATGTGGGCCAACCATTTCCGTAACTGGTGTTACTGTTACAGTACATTCACCAGCCTGTTACCAATGCCAGCATGTTGACACTTCATGTTACGTAGTATGATTAGTACGTGGCTCCCTCCCTGATTTCTGCGAATGAATGTACCCTTGAAGATATTGAATGGGTCTAGTTTCTCTGCCCCACCAGGCACTGCAGATGGAAGCTGTCCGGGCACCTGGGCGTGACGCAGCGCCACGACAACCCTGACCCCGGCACATGGCACGCAGAACACACAAAGCCGCGCTGCTGCCGCAGCAGGCGCACGCGGTGGTGCGGGCGGCGCTGGTCCATGGCCTCCACCTGGCGAATGGCGTCTTCCAGTGCACTGATTTCGGAGAGGAGAGTCTCTGCCTGCTGTCGCAGCTGCTCGTTCACTGCTGATAGCTCCGTCTGGTAAGGGGCGGAGGGGTGGTCAGTGAAGATTGCACAAGATGGGATGGGAGACGTTTGACGCGCCGGCAGACGAGGGATGACGAGGGAGAGACAGGGGGGAGAAGGGAAGAGGGAAACTGAGTGGGAGAAAGTGGAAGCGAGCAGGAGATGGCAAGGGAAAAAGGAGGGAAGAGACTGAAAAGGGTGGGATGGCGTTTGGTTGAAGTTGTACAGGTGAGCGTGGGGTAACACTGATGCACTATGCGACGATGCTGAGTGGCTGAAGATAGGACATACCATCAAAGGAGCGCATGAGGGCTATAATGCAGGGATGGAGGAACCATGAGGCATGGGGTGCAGAGAGGGCCTTACAATGTTGGCTGAGAGTGTGGATTGCAGGGTCTGGTACTGAACGATGATTGAGTGGACTCACGAGGCATGGGGTGGAGGGGGTGACTTACAATGTTGGCTGAAAGTGCGCAGGGATATTCTGAGAATGTTTTTTGAGAATTCTCTAAAAAGATCCCCACGAGGCATGGGGTGCAGGGGGTCACTTACGATGTTGGCTGAGAGTGTGGATTGCAGGGTCTGGTACTGGACGTGGCCTGACTGGATGGCGCCTTGCAGCTGGTAATCACGGGACAGGGAGGGCAGGAGTGATGAGAGAGAGGGGCGGAAGGGGGGGAGTTTTTGAGGCGCCTCAAAAGACATGGCCTCACAGGATGGCGCCTTGCATCTGGTTCGCATGGGTCAGGGAGGTCAGGGAGGAGACGGGAGGGGGGGTTGGGAAGATGGGAGAGGAGAGGAGAGGAGAGGAGAGGAGAGGAGAGGAGAGGAGAGGAGAGGAGAGGAGAGGAGAGGAGAGGAGAGGAGAGGAGAGGAGAGGAGAGGAGAGGAGAGGAGAGGAGAGGAGAGGAGAGGAGAGGAGAGGAGAGGAGAGGAGAGGAGAGGAGAGGAGAGGAGAGGAGAGGAGAGGAGAGGAGAGGAGAGGAGAGGAGAGGAGAGGAGAGGAGAGGAGAGGAGAGGAGAGGAGAGGAGAGGAGAGGAGAGGAGAGGAGAGGAGAGGAGAGGAGAGGAGAGGAGAGGAGAGGAGAGGAGAGGGAGAGGGAGAGGAGAGGAGAGGAGAGGAGAGGAGAGGAGAGGAGAGGAGAGGAGAGGAGAGGAGAGGAGAGGAGAGGAGAGGAGAGGAGAGGAGAGGAGAGGAGAGGGAGAGGAGAGGAGAGGAGAGGAGAGGAGAGGGAGAGGAGAGGAGAGGAGAGGAGAGGAGAGGAGAGGAGAGGAGAGGAGAGGAGAGGAGAGGAGAGGAGAGGAGAGGAGAGGATAGGAGAGGAGAGGAGAGGAGAGGGAGAGGAGAGGAGAGGAGAGGAGAGGAGAGGAGAGGAGAGGGAGAGGAGAGGAGAGGAGAGGAGAGGAGAGGGAGAGGAGAGGAGAGGAGAGGGAGAGGAGAGGAGAGGAGGGGAGAGGAGAGGGAAGGAGTGCATATTAGGTTGCAGTGGTGGCTGTGACGGCGAGCAGGTAGTAGGTTGTCCAGTGGCCGTGAAGGTTGTTAGAGGAAAAAAAGAACTCGAGTGAGGCAAGCGAGGTGACTTTTGAGTCGACTCAAAAGTGGCTGTGACGGCGAGCGAGCAAATAGTAGGTTGTCCAGTGGCTGTGAAGGTTGTTAGAGGAAAAGAAGAAGTTGGGTGAGGCACGCGAGAAAAGACTGAGGCCCACCCAGACTGGAGGAAGGCTTGCAGACAAAGCCTATATTCGTTGACGGATGAAATGCGATATATATCGAGAACAGATGCTTTGTGTGGCAGAGAATACTTTCAAGGATCCTCCTACAAGAGTCGTATGTTTTGAGTCGACTCAATGCACGACTATTGGCGAAAATCTTGAGGATCCTCCGAAATACAGCGAGGATTTCGGCTGGGTGGGTGGGTGGGTGAGTGAGTGAGTGAGTGACAGCCGGTATTGACCAAGCAGGACATACACACCACCCATCCAGCCGTGAAGATAAAACTCCACCGAACCCTGCCACTAGGTGCTAAGGTAACACTTGCCGACCTGAGCCACAACCCAGACACTGTTGAACAGGTGAGTTCCATGTGTCGTGTGTGGCTTCTCGTCTAGAGGCAGTTTTGAGAATTCTTATAAGTGATTTCGATATAGCAGGCTTCTCTTCTAGAGGCAGTTGCGGGACCACACAAGGCCAGGCCAGGCCAGGCCAGGCCAGGTCAACACGTGATTACTGATAAGCCTCGAGAAACGACCCACGCCATGGCAGATAGCAAGCATCTTCCACACCAACCTGCTCCACTGCATGCATGCACCTCTGCCATGCCACTTTTGAGGCACCACAACAACAGGCTCCGCCGCACTCACCTGCCACACCACATCACCCACCTCCCTCTCGCGCGTCTTGAGCTGCATGACCACCCCCTCCATCTCCCTCACTCGCTCCTCTTGCTTTTGGCCCACAAAACCAGACCAAAGTGCAATAGTGGATGCGCCTCAAGACGCAAACAACGAGCAAGCGACAAGCACCTGTCCACCGCACCCGCATCACGCACCTCCCTCTCGCGCGTCTTGAGCTGCATGACCACCCCCTCCATCTCCCTCACCCGCTCCTCCGCCTCCTCCTTCTCCCGCTGCACGCCCAGCATCTCCGGCCCCGATGCTGCTCTCAGCCCCTCCAGCTCCTTCTTCTCCCGCTCCACCACCGCTATGTGCAGCCGTGCGCGCGCCACCTCCTCCGCGTGCTGGTGGGGAGGGATGGCGGACGGTGGGGGAGGGGGTGTTGGGGAGGAGGGAAGCAGGGTAGTGGGCGAGGGAGGGATGAGGTAGTGATAAGGCCTTTGAGCCGGGTGAAGAGCTCCTATCCAGCACTAGAATATGCACGGGGAGAGCAGGAGAGCAGGAAAAAGGGAGGGTGCAAGAGGGGGAGGGGGGTTTGGAAGGCGAGGGCGGTTCAAAAAAAGTGGGATAAGGTCGGCTTGGACTCTGTGACGACTTTTCAGGGTTTTGGGTTAAGGTCCGCCTACGCTAAACTCAGACCACAAAGAGACAGCTCTTGCTTGCAGCCCCAAATTCCCTCATTCACTAACCTACCAGAATTCCCGCATTCACTAACCTACCAGAATTCCTCATTCACTAACCTACCAGAATTCCCTCATTCACTAACCTACCAGAATTCTCTCATTCACTAACCTACCAGAATTCCTCATTCACTAACCTACCAGAATTCCCTCATTCACTAACCTACCAGAATTCCTCATTCACTAACCTACCAGAATTCCTCATTCACTAACCTACCAGAATTCCTCATTCACTAACCTACCAGAATTCCCGCATTCACTAACCTACCAGAATTCCTCATTCACTAACCTACCAGAATTCCCTCATTCACTAACCTACCAGAATTCCCTCATTCACTAACCTACCAGAATTCCTCATTCACTAACCTACCAGAATTCCTCATTCACTAACCTACCAGAATTCCTCATTCACTAACCTACCAGAATTCCTCATTCACTAACCTACCAGAATTCTGCAACACCACAATCCCTCATTCCCTTACAGCCCCTACCTGCACTCAACCCCTCCTTCCTCCCCCACACACCCGCTTAACAGCCCATGCAATTGCACACGTTTCCCCCCTTATCCCTCCCCTACTCATCCAAACCCTCCTCTCCTTTTCCCCCCACCAGTTCGCGCTGCTCTGTCTCTCTGCGAGCCACCTCCCGGGCATCCTCCAGCTGCCTCTCCGCTGCTAGCCAGCCAGCCAGCCAGCCATTCCCTTCTTCCCTCATTCCCACAGAACGATCACACCACACCAGCTACCAGTCACACAGCACCCCCACTCTCTGTTTCCCCCTCACCAGTTCCCGCTGCTCTGTCTCTCTGCGAGCCACCTCCCGGGCATCCTCCAGCTGCCTCTCCGCTGCTGCCAGCCGCTCACTCGCCTCGTCCAGCTCTGCATCCTTGCGGTCCTGCCACGGCCATGGGGAGGAGGAGGTGGAAGGAAGAGAGGGGAGTTTTCAGCCCACAGATGATTCATCCAGCTCTCGCTTCACATGCCAGCCGCTCACTCGCCTCGTCCAGCTCTGCGCCCTTGCGGTCCTGTCATGGCAATGGGGAGGGTGGGGAGGAGGAGAGGAGGAGAAGAAGGGTGGGGAGGAAGAGAGGAGAAGAAGGAGGGTGGGGAGAAAGAGAGTAGGAGAAGAAGGGAGGACTTTTGAGCCAACTTATGATTCCTCCAGCCGTCCGTCTTTCCACTGCTGCCAGCCGCACGCTCGCGTCATCCAGCTCTGCATCCTTGCGGTCATGTGATGGCGACGAGGGGGAAGAGGGGAGAGACGAGGGGGAAGAGGGGGGGGGGGGAGGAAGGGAGAGAAGAGGGAGAGCGATGAGGGTGGGGGCGGAAGAGGAAGAGAAAAGGGATGGGAATGAGTAGGGGACGGGAGAGATATTGAGAGAGGGGAGGGCAGAGGGAGGGGGATGGAGAGATTGAGAGTGCGAGCTACAGCAGGAGCATGGAGAAAGGGGAGAAAGTGACAGGGTCGGGTGCTGTTGGGGTGGGTGGGGGAGGAGCATGCCTTAGTGTCTAACGAGGGAGGGAGAGAAAAGGGGAAAGGGAAGGGGAGAGGGAGGGACTGACTTGGATCTGCTAGCGTTACAGTCGAAGAATCAAAGGCGTGTGGTTGGTTGTGTTGATTCACAAGGCATGGCAGCAGCAAGATCCGCCTTCTTCTCACCAGTGCAGCTCGGAGCGAGTCGATCTGCTGCTGCAGCATGGCAGAGCCGTCAGAGACTGCATGGTCCGCGGACGCCTGTCATACCATGTGCCGTGCCGAGAGGCGAGGAGAGGCGAGGCGAGGCGAGGTGGGGCGAGGTGAGGTGGGGCGAGGTGAGGTGGGGCGAGAAATTTTAGTGGGGGCGGAAGGGGAGTGATAGAGAGGAGAGAAGAGAAACCGGAGAGGAGAAAGAGGAGGGGAGAGTACGTGGGATGGATTTGGAACATGGTAGTGCAAGGTGAGTGCACTGCACTGACATGACATGACATCCAGTGCAGTGCAGTGCAAGTGCATGAATGAAGCATGCCCTTGAGCCTTGGATTGGCACTCAGGGCTGTCATGGGCTTGCTCTGGCTGACGAGATTGCTTAAGCCTAGCCTACTACACGCATGCAGCTCACTGAGAAATGTCTGGACATGGGCTTGGCTTGCCCATGTTCAGTAGCAGCAGTAGCATAGCAGGGACTACGGTAGCAGACACAGTGACAGGAAGGAGGAGCAGAGTAGGCATACCAGCACTTGTGCCTGCAGGTCCCCCTGCACTGTGGCGAGCCTGGTCTTGAGATAGTCACACATCTTCTCACTCTGCATGCGAAGTAAGGCATACCAGTTTCAATGCAAGTCAATTCACGCAACAACAACACAATTCCATCACTCAGAGCAAGCAATGCAGGTCAGTGTGGGAGTGCGGTGCGATACGACCCCAGTGGGCTAAAATATCCTGAACAAGACAGACAGGGACGCACCGTATTAAACCCCAGTATTGTTAACTCCCAAGTCTCAATCCTGGGTCCATGCCCATCACCTCGTGTGATGAGGCGATCTTTGAATCGACTCAAAATCGCCCATCCTCAATCCTGCCTTGGTCCCTGCCCATCATCACCTCTCTACTCTTCTACCACAATTCACCATCACTCAAGTTTCACACCATCTCTCTTCTACTTCACACGTAAGAACTCCCATTACCACTTTCGCACAGCCTTTCCCATTCCCTTCGTACCATCCCTCAATCAAGTTTCGAAAGTTTCACGTCACACACACACACCCACCACTTCCCTGCTCTCATCAACTCATCCCCTCACACTCTCCCGACCATCTCTCCCGCCCCTCACCTCCCTCTCTCCTCTCCTCCCCTTTAATCCTCTCCCCCTCCCACTTTCCCCTCCCCATCCCCCTCCCCCCACCCTCTCCCTTCCGCCCCCCCCCACCTCATGGAAGTCCTCTTCAGTGCAGCACAGATCAGCCTCTAGGTTCTCCACTGCTGCTCCCTCTTGCCACCTCTTCCACTCACCCCTTCTCCACTCTCCCTCGCCCCTCCCCCCACCCGTCACCTCATGGAAGTCCGCTTCAGTGCGGCACAGAGCAGCCTCCAGGTTCTCCACCGCTGCAGCCTTTGAGGCGCCTCGGAAACGTTTGCAGTGCAGAACAGCCACAGGGACTTAGTGTAATGCCCTTTACCCTCCCGCCCTCCCCCTTCCCCCCCCCCCACCCCCCCCCCCCCCCCCCCACCTCATGGAAGTCCGCTTCAGTGCGGCGCAGAGCAGCCTCCAGGTTCTCCACCGCTGCTGCCTTCTCCTGCACGCTCTGCTGCAGCCCTGCCAGCATGGCACGTGCTGCTTCTGCCTGTACAGGGAGGGGAGGGGAGGGGGGCAGAGGGGAGAGGAGCAGAGATCAGGGGAGCAGAGGGGAGGGTGGGGAGGGGAGGGGATGGGAGGGGAAGAGAGGGAGTGTAAGGGGAGGGATGGGGGGGTGGGTGGAGGAGGGGGGTTTGGAGGGAGGTTGTTGGATGATAAGATGCTCCGAAAGCCGATTGACAAAAAGGTACTCTACCGCTGCTGCCTTCTCCTGCACGCACTGCTGCTGCGTAGTACAGCTGGGGAAGAAAAGAGGTGGATGAGTGGGGAGGGTGGGGAGGAGGGGAGTTAGATAAGACGTGCTGCTGCTGTTTCTGCACCTGCTGCTGCAGAGTGCAGCATAACGGACACTGCTACTGCTTCCGTCAGAAAAGACTCTGTTAATGCAACAAATGAAACGGAACATTGGATCGAAAGAAATTTGGCACTGCATGCATGCATCCTTCCCCGTCCCCGCCCGTCCCTCACAACTGAAACGGAGCCCTCCCTTCCCAGGTCCCGCCAGCCTCCCTCACCCCTCTTGCAGAATCCCAACCACCATTTCCCCCACCTCACCAGCCCCTCCCTCCCCACACACCCAACCTACGAACCCTCCCTCCCTCCTCCCATCTCCCTCGTCCCCCATCCCTGTTCTTCAGGGATATTTCAAACATTATAAAGAGGTCCCGTCCCGTCCCGTCCTGTCCCCCACCTGCTCAACTTCCTCGCGCTTCTCTTCTACTGTCGCCTGCAGCACCCGCACCTCCTCCTCCCTGACCTCCACCTCCGCCCTCAACCCCTCCTCCCTCTCCCTCGCCCGCTCCGCCTCCTCCTCTGCTGCGCGCACTCTCCCCCTCAGCGCCTCTAGCTCTGCTTCTAGCTGCTCCGCCTGCTCTCCTTGCGCCTGCAGCTGCTCCACTCGCTGGTTCGCCTCGTCCTGATGGCGGAAGGAGAGATGGGAGAGGGAGAGACGGATAAGTCTGTGACATTGTTCTCATCATAGCTGCTTCTCCCCCTCAGCACCTCTAGCTCTGCTTCCAACTGTTCCGCCTGCTCCCCTTGCCGCTGCAGCTGCTCCACTCGCTGGTTCGCCTCGTCCTGATGGACGCACGAGAGGGGGGAAGATGGGGAGGAAGAGGGGGAGAGAGCGAGGGGAGAGAGAGGCGATAGCGAGAGGTGGAGCGGCAGAAAGAGACGACAGGGGCACCATTCTTGACAGGAGATAGCTGCCTCTCCAATTCACTTTCTTTGAACCACACCCTTCAGAACGTTCTGAGTTCCTTCCTTTACAGTGCATCATTCCCTCCCTCGATCTTCCCTGCCCTCCCTCGCTGTTCCTCGGGAGAGATGGGGCGGGGACGGGTCATGGGGCGAGAGTAGTGGCAAGAGAAGCCAGGCGCATAGAGCTACCAGTGTGGAACAAGCGGTCGTTATGGGGGATGGAGAGACGAGAGCAATGGGCATCAGAGATGTGAGGAGAGAGAGAGAGATGCTAGTGGGCATATTTGAGACTGTAGTAACTCTGATCAGACACAGATTCTGACCCAGATTCAGAAGGCCAGCGAAGAAAGCATGGTAAGCCTTCTCGCGAGCCCCTAACAACCCTCTCTCCAGATTCCCTTGCAGCACCAGAACGTGTCATGCTTGCTTGCACGTGGCACACTTGCAAAGCTGAACGGCAGCAACACAGCACCTGCTACATTCTCTCGCTCGCACGCACCTCATCGTAGCTCCTCTCCCACCGCTCAAACGACTCCTCGTTCTCCTGCAGCTGCCGCCTCTGCTCCTGCACCTGCTGCCGCAACCGCTGCACCTGCTCATGTTGTCAGGATGGTGCGGGAGATGATGATGGAACGGTGGTAGTGAAAGGGAGAACGATGGTGATACTGACTCTGATAATGAATGTGATAGTGACGGTGGTAGTGATGGCGATTGGCAATGCTAGGGATGGCAGTATGTCCGAGAGAGAGGAGGGACTCAGGGGAGAGCGGGGCGAGGGGTGAGGGGTGAGGAACTCTGCAGGGAAGGAATGTGCCGTGGTGACGAGCTGTGTGACAGCATCGTTTACTCCTCCACTCCACATGGCACGTGCTGCCTGCCAGCATCAACGCCACATGCCAAATACTCATCTCACCCTACCTTTCAGCAACCCCCCCCCCCCCACCCCTCCTCCTCCTCCTCTCTCACCTCATCATCAGCACCAGCATCAGCATCAGCACCATTGGCATTGCCATCTGCTACACTCAGGCCACCCGTCGCAGCTGTTGCAGCAGCAGCAGCAGCGGCAGTGGCAGCCTGGACTCTCTCCTCCGCCTGAACCACAGCAGCCCTGCTGGCATCGAGCTGCTGCTCCAGCTCCCCCCTTTCCTCTTCCAGCTCCGTAACCCGCTGCTCCTGCTGCTGCAGCTGCTCCTCTAGAGCCGTGATCCGCTGCTGCTGCTCCTGCACCTTCCCCAGCAGGTCCAGTATCGCGCCCTCCTGCTCCTTCACGCGTTCCTCCTGCTCTTTCAAGCGGTCATCCTGAGCCCATGCGCTCGTGCCTCTCTCCTGCTCGTGCTGATGATTCCCGATGTTTGGTGTGTGAGCGAATGAGGAGGAAGGGGGTACGTGGGGAGAGGGGGAGCGGAGGGACAGCATGTTATAGGTGATGATGCTGCATGTGCGAAGGACATTGCGTTGCGTGTGGAGGCCTCAGGGAGGAAGTGAGGGAGCAATGCACAGCGCAATACTACTCGTTGCACAGCGCAATACTACTCGTGTATCAGCAGCACTGCGTGTCTTTGTGTTGTGGCTCACTGCTAATACTCGTGCTGGTGATGTTGGTCGGTGTGTGTACGAAAGATGATGCGACGCATGAAGGGATGATGGATGCTTACGGCCAAACGGGACGCACACAAGCAAAACGGAACTGACCTGCTGGTCGAATTGCGAGCCACTGAATCCTCCCACCACCTCCCAACCCTCCTCTCCCCTCCTGCTCCCAATGCTGCTCGCCACACTGCCGCTCTTAAGCATAGCCTCTCTTGCTGCCAGCTGCTTCTCCTTCGTCTCCAGATCTTTCTCCCACTCCACCACCTCTACCTCCCTCTCCTCCACCTCCTGTGCCTTCTTCTCGCTCTCCCTCACTCTCTCATCTGCCTCCCTCACTCTCTCCTCAGCCTCCCTCACTCTCTCCTGCAGCTCCCTGCATCTCTCCTCCTCCTCTCTCAGCCGTTGCTCCAAATCCATTAGCTGCCGCTGTTGCTCCAGGATAGTCACTGTGGAGGAGGAGGCTGCTGCCCCTACCTCCTCCTCCATCCCTCCCTCTGTCCCTCCTCCTACACTCTCAACACCAGACAGTGATGAAGATTCGCTGCAATCGCCCTGTTGGTGTATGCATGAACACAGGGGGTGATGAGTGGAGGTCGGTACGTTCAAGGGGCGAGAAGACAAAGATGAAGAGAACGCGGGAGCAAGAAAGTGATTAACCACCCCTAAATCTCCATTCATATACACCTTTCACCGTGTTTTTTTTGAGAATTCTAAAAAAACACACGCTGTCTCATAACGTCCTCCTTGACACTTGAATCATTCTTCCTTGAAGGGTTTCAGTTTAAACATACAAAAATATAACACCCCCTTTCACATAACTCGCTTTTTCGAAAGCAACTGCCCGGTCCACCCCAGCCCCAATCTTCTCTCCCCATTTTACTTTCTCCATTGCTCACCGTCTGTGTGCGGGCAGTGTATCCCAGCTCCTCCTCCACCTCCTGCATGTGCTACAACACCCCCCAGCAAGCACGCCACCCCTCACTCCACCCACCATACCCCGCCACCCACCATTCGTCCCTCTCTCTCCCCCCCCTCACCGCCTGTCCGCGGGCAGTGCGGCGCAGATCCTCCTCCATCTCCTGCATGTGCTGCAATGCAACACCCCCCAGCACGCCAAGTTGCCAACCCACCCTCACGTCACCCACCATGCCTCCCCACCCACCAGTCGCCCCCCTCTCTCTTCTTTTCCCTCTGTCGGCGCACCGTCTGTGTGCGGGCAGTGCGGCGCAGGTCCTCCTCCATCTCCTGCATGTGCTGCAGCAGTTGCGCCTTCTCTTCTTCCAGCCGCTCCCCCTTCATGCGCGTTGCTGCCAGCTGTCTCACATCGGGGGAGGAAACGGAAGGTGCAGGGGGTTGGAGATTCGGGGGTGGGGGGTGGGGCCGGGGAAGAAAGGGGGGCAAGGAAGGGAAGAGTGTAGCAGCACTGAGACCATAGCGCCTGCATCACCAGTACTCATTCCCCATTTTCCATGTCAGACGCCCCTTGTTCCCGCTCCACGCAGCAGCCGCGCAGTGCACCTCTCTCCCTGTTCTTCCCCACCGCTCTCCCTTTTTTCCCCCTCTCCCCCTCTCCCACTTCCCCCCCCCCCCTCCTCCAATCTCACATCAGCAATGAGGCGCACGATGGGCACTTGTGAGAGCGGGAGTTTATCCAGAGTGCGTTACAGGCGCACCACTTTTGAGAATTCTCAAAATTCATACAAATATACATGCCCTTCCACCTCCACCTTCACTGCAACACCATAACCACCCAGCCCAACCCTCATTCCTCTCACGCCACATTCCAGCATCAAATCTCCCCTCTTCTTCCCCCACCTCTTTCCATTTCCCCTCCCCGCTCTTCCTCTCCCTCTCTCCTCCTCCCTCCCCTCCCTTCCCCAACTCACGTCTGCAATGAGGCGCAAGCGGGGCACTTGCGAGAGGCGGAGCTTATCCATGGTGCGTTGCAGGCGCCCCACCTACCCTTCCACCTCCACCTTCTCCGCCCTCACCACCACACCAGCATCACCAACCCTCATTCCTCACACCACACGGCAGCATCTAATCCCCTCTCTCCTTCCCCCTCCCCTTCCCCATCTCTCTCCACCGCCTCTCTCCATCTCCCCTTCTCCCCCTTCCCACCTTCCCCAACCAATCTCACGTCGGCAATGAGTCGCAGGCGGGGAACTTGCGAGAGGCGGAGCTTATCCATGGTGCGCTGCAGGCGCCCCACCTGCCCCTCCACCTCCACCTTCTCCGCCCTCAGAGCCCGCATCTGCATGTGCACACTCGCCCTCTCCCTCTCTGCGCGCACCTTTGCCTCCTCCAGCAATGCATTGTCCTGCAGCGCTGCTGCCTGGGGATGGGGGAATGGGGAGGGAAGGTGGAGATATGGGGGACAGGGTGTGCGGCAGAGATGGGGATGGAGGGGAGGTGGTGGGAGGTGGGGGGGAGGAGGGGGAAGGGGTGGAGGGAAGGGGGAAGCAAAGCAGTGGGAAAAGGATACACAGAGCGACTTGTGATTTGAATCAGATCAGAGGGCATCTGCTTGTGCAGGCTCGCCCACTCCCTCTCCTCTCCGCTCTCCTTCTCCAGCAGTACGTTGTCCTGCAGTGCTGCTGCCTGGAAGTGGGGAAGGGTTTGGGAGGGAGGGGAAGGGAAGTGGGGACGTGCAGGTTCGCTCTATCTCTCTCTCTCTCTCTCTCTCTCTCTCTCTCTCTCTCTCTCTCTCTCTCTGTCTCTCTCTCTCTCTCTCTCTCTCTCTCTCTCTCTCTCTCTCTCTCTCCCCTCCGCGCGCACTTTTGCTTCCTCCAGCAGCACGTTGTCTTGCAGTGCTGCTGCCTGGTGGGGTGGGGCGACGGGAAGAGGTGAGAGGAGGGGCTGGGAAAGAGGATGAGACAAGAAGGGGCGCGAGACAACGGGGGCGAGAGAAAGTTGGTGGGGGTGCTGGAGGGGGGGAAGGGAGGGAGAAAGGGAGGGGGGAGAGGGGAGATAAGGGGAAAAAAGCCCCACCTGCGCATGCAGCCCCCACCCCACCCCCACGCCCTCTCTCTTCCCCAAACCCCCCCACACACGTGGAGAGAGCACAAAGGCACGTACCAGGCGCTGCCTGGCACTGTCTGCTGCTGCGAGTGCCTCCAGTAGCTTCTCCTCCACCTGCTGCGCTCCCTGCAGACTGTTGCTGCTGCGCTGCTGCTCCTCCTCCTGCCGTGAGCATGATACACGAGAGTGCCACACACAAGTGGGCAGGAGGTGGTAATGGGAGGGAGGATGGGCGTGGGAGGAAAGGGGAGGAGAATGGGGAGGCGGGGAGGAGGGGAGAAAAAAGGGAGAGTGGAGGGGGGGGAAGAGAGGGAGGATAGAGTGAGGGCTGGAGAAAAATGGAAAGGAGTGGGAGGCTAAGGGAGAGATGGAGGGCAGGAATTGTCCCAATACTTGCTGTCGTTTGTGCTTGTGTGAAGTGAACCAGCAACAGCAGAGATAAAGGGCGTCACGTCAAGGAATCAAACGGAACATCACAAGAAGCAGGAGCAGACAAGCGCGCAAAGCGAGGCAGGGCAGGGCGGGGCGGGGCGGGGCGGGGCGGGGCGGGGCGGGGCGGGGCGGGGCGGGGCGGGGCGGGGCGGGGCGGGGCAGGGTGGGGTGGGGCGGGGCAGTGTAGGGCAGGGCGGGGCAGGGTAGGGTAGGGCGGGGCAGGGCAGGGCAGCGCAGCGCAGGGAGGAGGAGAGTTTGAGAGACTGACCAGTTGCCTGCGCAGCCCCTCGCACTCGAGGTACAGCTGCCGTGACTCACTGTTGGCCTGCAGGGCGCAAAGGGGGTCACATCACACGGACCATCCGAGAAGGAGGAAGAGGAATGGATAGGAGCGGAGCACACACACGCACAGAGGGAGGGAGTGGGACGGAGTGAGTGGCATGCAATATAACTATCTGCCTGCCTCTAAACCACAGAAAACGGGACTCTGGAGGGCAGATACGAGAGGGGAAGCAGATGGGGCTGGGGCTGGGGCTGGGGCTGGGCGATGATGGCTGTGATGTGATCTGCCCTTGCTTCCACTGCCACCACATCCAGTATGCAAGCAACCTGCCTGCAACCTGCCCAAGTTACCCTGCCTGCACCACCAATGCACCGCCACCGTTCCCCACTGCATTCCAAGGAGCAAGCAAGCACTCACGTCCTTGGCCCTCTCCTCTGCTGCCTCCAGCAGCCCCTGCAGCCGCTGCAGCTCCCGTGCTTCCGAGTAGGAGGAGGAGGAGGAGGTGGAGGAGGAGGAGAGGTTTCCTGGCATGACGGGGGGGCGACTGGCTGCCTGGTGCGTGCAGGGGATGGGGGATGGGGGATGGGATGGGACAGCGAGTCAGAGAGGGTGGGTGTTGGGGAACAAAAGGGACGAGGCAGGGTGGGAGGCGAAGATAGAAGTTATATTGGCAGGAATGGGGAAGGATTGGCGGAGGGTGCGAAGTCGAGGAGGAGAGAGAGGAATGGGGGCAAGAGAAGGAGAAGGGGGCGAAGGAGACAGTGAGGGGAGCGAAAAGAAGGGAACACAATGCGAAGTGACAGGAAGAGTAGACTGGCAAAGAAACGAAACAGCACACTGGGACACTTTTCTGGGTTCCATGGACGGTTCAAAGTCGAAGAAACAGAACTTAAATCAGATGAAAGATAAGCACAAGCTAAGGGCGAGAATGGAAAGGGGGAGGGAAAGGTGGCAGTGGGGGAGGGGGGGGGGGGGGGGGAAGGGGCAGGAGGTGGTGGAGAGAGGGGGGGGGAGGAGGCGAGGAGAAGAGGGCAACGGGAGATTGTGTGCATGTGGTATATTGTTTCAAGGAAATGATTGCTCCAGGGCTGCACAGCTTGCTCATTGAGAAACTCAATAAAGGTTTGTACGGCATGCTACTCGTTTCTGAATCGTTCCATCTGGTTCTTCAGCCAACTCCTAGCAGGAGTTTCCTACTTGAATGCATCCCATCCCAGCCACCCCCACACACGCTTTCCTTTCTCAATCCCCTCTAATCTTCCCCCACGCTCCCTTCCCTTCCCCTCTCCCAAGAGCTCGTGCCCTTTCTGCCTGCACGCTTGCTGAACGGCTTACCTCCCTTTGGAGCTTTGCCAGCTGCCTTTCTGCCTGCATGCACGCATGCATACATACACATATAGAAGGACGACAACAACACGCATGCATACATACACATATAGAAGGACGACAACAACACGCATGCATACATACACATATAGAAGGACGACAACAACACGCGCGAACACAGCACCGAAGAGGACCAGACCACAGAGCACCGCAGAGAACAGCACACATCAAATGGTGACATGCATGTTCGTATTTTCACATGGCAATGCACGTACACTCAGAACCATGGCCGTGCACATGTGTACGCACGCACGGACACACACACGCACACCCATACGCACATACAAACGAATGCATGGGGTTTACGAAAAACAGAAAACACAGCCAGGCAGGATTGGGACACCTTCAGAAAAAAAGAATGCGTTTTTTCCAGGAAAGAACGAGTTTAAGGAGGGCATGAGTTTGAGGAGAGGAGAGAATGCGTTTAAGAAAATGTGATTAACAGGGAGATGCGTATAGTGACACCTTCAGAAGGAAAACAGCGATGAAAGTGAATCTGTGATGGAACCAGCCCCACATGCATGCATGGATCCATGCATGCATGCATTCATGCTTCCACACCCACCCACTGCACAGCCATCTCCCGCACACTCGCTCACTGACCAGCACTCTTCCCCTACACATGCACTCACACCAGCCTAACCCACTCCACCATCCCCCCACCCACTCCACAACCCACACCTCCCCAACACACTCCTCCCCCCCAACCCCCCCTCCCCTGTCTCCCCACCCCAACCCACCATGGCAAGGGCATCATCGAGCTGCTGAATCTTCCCTCTGGCAGCCTCCAGCTCATCCCCCCGGTGGTCCAGCTTGCCTGTCAGCAGCACCAGCGCCTCTCGATGCACCTGCAGCGACTGCTCGCACTGCTGCAGCGCTGCCTGGGTTGACGCCAGTGCCTGCTGCTGCTGTTCTGCCTGGGATGGGTCGAGAGGGGGTTGCTGGAAGGGAGGGAGTGAAGGGGCGGACGGAGGGTTTGGGGGATGGGAGAGGGATGGATGGAGGAGGTGGGAGAAAAGGAATGAGGATGGTGGGAGGAGAGGGAGGGAAGGTAGATGTGTCAGAGACTCAGAGGTTGGTTGAGGTGCTCATCCCCACGGTGGTCCAGCTTGCCTGTCAGCAGCACCAGCGCCTCCCGATGCACCTGCAGCGACTGCTCGCACTGCTGCAGCGCTGCCTGTGTTGACGCCAGTGCCTGCTGCTGCTGCTGATGATCCGCCTGGGATGGGTCTAGCGGGGGTTGCGGCGGAGGGGATGGGGTGAGGGAGAGGGAAAGGGGGACAGGAGGAGAGGAACGGAGAGCGGAGGTAAGGGAAGGTAGAAAATCTGTTGCAGGTTGGCTGGGCGGGGTGCTCGAGTTGACATGACACACAATAGCAACGGAGGAAGCACGGGAATAGGGTCGTCCAGCAGTCGGATCGGGAGCAGGAGAGGGGCATGAAGGATGGGGAGGGGAGGTTGTCGAGGAGGGCGGTGCGGTGCAGTGCGATGCGGTGTGGTGCAGTGCGGTGCGGAGCAGTGCGCGTACCGAAGGGGAGCGCAGCATGCTGGGGGGTTGCGCTCCCGTCTCTAGGAACGTCACTGGCAGCTGCTTGCGCCCCAGCAACCCAGAGTTTGGGCCATTAGCCACCTGGAGCCGCAGTGGGAAGCGGTGGAGGAGACGAAGGGGGAGAAGGGAGAAAAAAAAGAAGAAACGAAGGAAGCATTTAAAGGAGCTGGAGGAGGTGGTAGGTTTAGGGTTTAGGCGTCTCAGGGGAGAGGGGATGAGTGAAGAATGGGAGAAAGGAGTCACAGGATATAATCCAGGCATTTATCCAAACGCAGAGAAGTGTGTCAAGCCATGCGTCAAGCAGTGCATGCGTGCATGCGTGCGTGCATGCGTGCGTGCGTGTGTGCATGTGTGAGGAGCTGACCTCGCCCACGGTGGCAGCAGCATACACCTCCAGCTGGAACGAGTCGGTGGGGAACCAGAAGGGCCGCTTCGCGAACGCTCCACACGTGACTGCGGCACGGTGAGAGAGAGAGGAGAGGAAAAGAGACCAATCACACTCGTTGTTTCTCTGTGTGTGTGTTCTTTCCTGGTGTTGCTGCTGTTGTGGCAGTGGTGTGTTTGTTTGGTGATGCCAAAAGTGCTCCCCGAAAAGTGATTTTGGCATTGCTGAAAGCACAGGGAGGCGACAAAGTATCGCAAACACAGCCTCTGCTTCTCGAAGGGGAAAAGCGTGTCCAACGTATCTAAGGGGAGAATGTAAGAAAAAGCATGTTGCGATCTCGTCTAACAATTGCTGCTGCAGAGCAGCAAGATGATTAACTCATCTCCCCTCCACCCCCCTTTCACGCTTTGTTTTTTTCTCCAAGGGGTACGTTCTTGGCCCATGTCAGGCTCGCTGACACAAGGGTATCAACGATTTCGATCATCCCACATCATCATGACTGTTGAGATGTTCAAATCCAAACCCCTCACCTCACAGATTTGTGTCAGCGAGCAAGTGCAAGCCTGACATGGGCCAAGAACGTACCCTAAACAGCAAACACCATCGCCACTACAGCAGCAGCAGCAGCGGCGGCGGCGGCGGCGGCGGCAGCAGCAGCAGCAGCGACGCAGTGTCCCTCACCTTTCTTCTCCTGGAATGCATTGGGCGGTAGCAGAAATGTGTCCCCATCCACGATGCCGTACGGCCTGTTTGCGGCAAACGAGAGCTGCGGGGAGGAGAGGAGTGAGAGAGGGAGACAAGACACGAGAGAGGAGGGAGAGAAAGAAAGATAAACCCACTGATGCTCTGAGTCGCCTCACTCACTCCCTCATAGAAAGGCGCCCCCATCCACAATGCTGTACGGCCTGTTGGCGGCGACACACGAAAGCTGCAGAGATGAGTGAGAGAGGGAGGGAGAGAGAGAAAGAAGGGGTGACGGAGGGGGGAGGAGGGGGTGGGGTTGGAGCGAAACATCATGTGAAATCCATGGACAGTCTGAGCAACAGTTACTCTGAGCATGTGGTGATGAACACATGGCAAACGTAGTACACTCACTGTGAACACGAGGCATGGTGTGCATAACACGTGGTGCACTCACTCACACGTGGCATGGTGTGCATAACACGTGGTGTACTCACTCACTCACTCACTCACTCACACGCGGCATGGCGTGCAGTGCGTGACACACGCGTTGCATTGACTTACTTTGAGCACGCGCGGGGCATCAGAGAGGTTGGTGAAGAAGAGAGAGCCGTGTAGCTCCTGCCCCACCTCGACTGCCCGCACCAGGGCAGGGAGTCACGCCCCACCGGCGACCACCAGGGACCACCAGGGACCACCAGGGACCACCAGGGAGAACCAGGGACCACCAGGGACCACCAGGGACCACCAGCGACCACCAGGGACCACCAGGGACCACCAGCGACCACCAGCGACCACCAGGGACCACCAGGGACCACCAGGGACCACCAGCGACCACCAGCGACCACCGCCGGGTGACCAAGAGCGGGGTTTGGCGGACCGGGAAGGGATGGGGAGAAGGTCAGTCCAAAAAAGAGCGAGCGGAAGGGGAAAGGGAAGGGGGAGGGGGAGGTTGGTGAGAAAGAAAAGAGAGCCGTGCAGCTCCCTCCCCACCTCGACTGCTGCCCGCACCAGGGAGTCTGGGCCACCAGCGACCACCGCCGGGTGACCAGGAGCGGGGTTTGGCGGACCGGAAAGGGATTGGGACGGGGTCGGTCGGAAGGGGGTGAGGGGAAGGGGAAGGGGGAAAGTTGAAGAAGTGGCGGAGGGGGGGGGGGGGGGAGAGGGGGGATGGGAAAAAGAGAAAGTGCGAGGAATGGGAGGGAAGGGGGTGGGTTGGGGGGGTGGGGGAAAGGGAAAGTAGGGGGGGGTGCGGCGAAGCAGGGGGGAGTTGAAGAAGGGGGCTGTTGGAACGAGACGAATGCTGGGCGTTAAGAGTAAGCGAGAAAGACAAAGATGGTGGCGAGACGAAGCTCCTTAATCAGGCATGAGGAGAGACAATGGGGATGAACGCGAATGATGAAGGAAGTGAGATATGTGCTAGCGTATGCGACTTGTGGTCGCTGTGCTGAGTGGCTATGCTTCATCCAAGCGAAGCCGACGCGAGTAATGGGTTGTTCTGCGGCATTTCAAGGCTTCTACTAAGCAGTTTATCCTTTTTTTCTGATTATTTTTGCCGTTTCTGATCTCTTCTAGTCGCTTCATCTCTTACATGGGAAGCGAACGCAGCCCGGTTCTATCTTAAGATCGTCCATGCACGCTTCAATTGACCGTCCCTCGACGCTTCACTGTCACTGATTCGCTTCGCCGTAGATCGACACAGAAAACTCTAATGCCAGACGATCACCCGAGAACAGAATTTGCTACGACGAGCCCGCTCACGGCCTGATTGCGAGTTTTTAGTCGACTCAAAAGACGAGCCCGCTCAGGGCCTCATTGCCGTTACTAGACCAACGACGCGATGCAATCAATACTGCGCGGCGCGCGTTTGAGTTCACACCGACACGTGGCGTGCAAGCTCACTATCAGCTGTGGTGATGCAACTAGGTGTGATGCTGCTCAGCTCCCACACCACCTCCCACCACACCACCGCCACCACGCGGAGCAGGGAGCGCAGGGCAAATGCAGTACGGTACGGCATGCAAGTGCGCGCGAATGCGACTGTCCTCAGCACGGCATTCCCGAAGCTTCAGGGGAGGTGGGGGGATTTTGCTGGAGGAGATTGGCCGTAAGGGTTTGCGTTCGGTTTCCGCGCAGCCGAACCTGTGCCAAACCTCGAATTTCGAGGTTCCCGCCTAGCTAGTCTCGTTATACCACGGCTACGCACTCCTTTTGTCCACTTCATTCAGTCGCTGTTGCGGTAGTCATTAGAAGTTGTGCACACAAAATCACAGGTCATATTTCGTATACCCTTGCATAGTAACAGACCTAGAAACCTCCATATCAAGAGCCAAGCAGCAACATGAGTTAACACACACTGAGTGCCATTACGTAGATAACTAGGAGACTTCCCATATTAAAGGTCAAGCTGTTAAAGCCAGTTGCAAAAACTCCAAGACACCAACACCACCCAAGAAAGCAACCACAAATAAGATAAGGATGTGAAGGAACAGAAGCAGGACACTCTCATATCCTCTCACCCTTGGAAGGCTCAGTCCGCTCCTCTCCACCGCACCCTAACCCATCACCCCTCTGCATACCACCACGAGTCAAGCCGATGCTAGATGGGGCCACAAGCAGTGGCTCCTCTCCATTCCACCAACTCAGTAAACACAGCAAGGCAAGTGGCTGCCCCAGGCCTTGCCACCACTCTCCACTCCTCTCCATTCCACTCCACACCTCTCTACTCCACAACACACCTCACCAGCTCTCAAAACTTCCATTTTATTCCACTCTACACACACACACACATAGCTGCACCGGAACGCCTACTCCCGCTTCTCCTCTCCCCGCCCTCAGTGAGCCTGTGGTCCTGTGAGCCTGTGTCCGTGTGAGCGTGAAAGGGGCTCTGTTCTGTCTTGTCATGATCTCGTCTCACTTGGGGGCGATGCCACGCTCCTCCACAAACTTCTTGACATCGTCTGGACTCTTGATACTCTTCAGGTCCTTCAGCAGTCGCTGCCTGGCAGGTGGAGAAGCAAGTGTTTGAGGGTGTGACAGACATGACATGACGGGGATGTGTGTGTGCCATGCCATGTGAATGTGCACGTTCATGCGGATGTGAATATTAGAAATGAGGACCAGGATGGAGCATGGCATGACTGAAGACAATGGAACAATGCTCCATGATTTCAACAGATTGGGTCCAGCACGGGGGGAGGGAGAGGGGAGAGGAGGGGGGAGGGGGAGGAGGGGGGGTGGGGAGGGGGAAAGCAGAAGCAATGCATGGCAGGGAGATTGATTGAGGTCTGTTACCTCTGCTCGGCCCAAAGAAGGTCGTATCCAATGAAGGATGTGACTGCTGTGAGCCCTATGGCCTCCATGGCCCCTTGGACTGCCATACACACACCGGGCACGAGGAAAGAGGAAGAATGAGGGGGAACAAGGAGCGAGGAATGAGGGGGAGAACACGGAGGCATATGACATGGAAACAGGGAAAAATGGGAGGAGGAGCATGTGTGTGCATTGCATGTGTCTCATTTCTTATGCACTCAGGGCTGCTGCTGCTGGCTGTGGTGGTGCTGCTGGTGGCACTGGCGTACCAGTGAGCAGTCACAGACCAGCTGTACCAATCATGACATGCTCGCAGTGGTGCATATGGAGGTGCAAGAGCAGCAGACACGAGCAGAAGCACAAGCACAGCGTGTCACGCGTAATAAGAGTAGTGGCGGTGGTGCTATTTTTTAGGCGTCTCGACAATGCACAGCATTGCAAGAGTGATGGTAGTGGCGGTGCTGATGCACTGCTGGTGCACTGCTGGTGCACTGCTGGTGCACTGCTGGTGCACTGCTGGTGCACGGCACGTACATCCGCCAGTGACGGTGGCGACAGTGCCAAGCCCGACAGCAAGCGCAGGGATTGACGTCTTGATCAGCTCCTGGATCTTGCGCCAGTTCTCCTCCTCCTGTTCATGGGCCGACACACACATGCACACACACACACACACACACAACACACCACACCCACGGGCCACGGCAGAGACACAAGGGAAGGAGTTTCCGTTTTGAGGGCCAGAAAAGGGTAGAGAAAGGGAGAGAATGCTAGAATGAGGGCATGAAAGGGTGAAGGGAGGCAGGCAGAGGAGGGGGGAGGAAGGGTACATCTGTGTGGGTGGGTACATCTGAGGTGGGCAAGATTACACCCCCATTGGGAATGTCACACAGCTGCACTGCAGCAGCAGCAGCAAGCGGTAAAAGCAGCAACAGAAGCGGCAACAAGAGTAGCGGCAGGAGCAGCGGCAAAAGCAGCAGAGAGCATGAGGCACTATCATCCACTCACCTCTGACAGCTCCTCTGACTTTGCCGCGTCAGCCGCCACTGGAGCAACAGCAGCAGCGGCAGGCGACGAAACAGCCTGAGGCTTGACAGTAGCAGCTGCAACCGCAACAGCGGCAGGAGCTGCAGCAGTGGCAGCAGCAGCAGCAGCAACAACAGGAGCAGGAGCAGCAGCAGGTGCTGGTACATCCTCGCTCTTCGCTTCCTTCTTTTTGAACAAGAAGCTCCAGATGGGTTTCTTCTTCTCAGCAGGTTTCTCTGCCTCTGCCGCTGCCGCCACGGCACCGTTGCCTGCTGCTACAGCAGGCTGGGCCGTAGCAGCAGCAGCAGCAGGAGCAGCAGCAGGCGGAGAGGAGGATCCAGGGAGAACAGACGCCTGCATCAACTTGTTGGGAACCTTCTCAGCCTCTGAAGCATCGGAGTATGGCCCAGTTGCTGCGGCCTTAGCAGGAGAAACAGCAGCAGCAGCAGGGGTGGTGGGGAGAACGGACGCCTGGCGCAGCTTGTTGGGCAGATTGACAGTCTCTGACGGATCGGAATACGGCCCGGACGCTGAGGCCTTAGCAGGAGCAGCAGGGGCAGCGGAGGGGGTGGGGGCCACGGGAGGTTTCTTAGCAGGCAGGCTCTCGGTCACTGAAGCATCAGAGTATGGTCCAGTTGATGGAGCAGCAGCAGCAGGTGCAGCACCGGCAGCAGCAGAAGCGGGGGTGAGAACGGACGCTTGGCGCAGCTTGTTGGGCAGATTGACCGTCTCTGAAGGATCGGAGTATGGTCCGGTTGCTGCGGCGGCCTTAGCAGGAGCAGCAGCAGCAGGGGAGGCAGGAGGGACTGGCAGATTCACAACCTGCGAAGCGTCGGTATACGGCCCGGCTGCTGCTGCAGCAGCGGTGGCACTCTTAGCGGCAGCAGAGGTGGGGAGAACAGACGCCTGGCGCAACTTGTTGGGCAGATTGACAGACTCCGAAGGATCGGAATACGGCCCGGATGCTGCAGCAATGGAGCTCTTAGCAGGAGCAGCAGCAGCGGCGGCAGCAGCAGGAGCAGCAGCGGCAGGGGAGGAGGAGGAGGAGGAGGAGGAGGAGGAGGAGGAGGAGGAGGAGGAGGTGGACCTCTGTAGCTTGGGGGATGCGCTGATAATCTCCATAGCAACAGAGTACGGTCCAGTTGCTGCTGGGACGGTCTTAGCGGGAGTAGCAGGGGAGGAGGAGGAGGGAAGAACAGACGCCTGCATCATCTTGCTGGGCAGTCTATTTGTCTCTGAAGCATCGGAATATGGCCCGGATGCTGCGGCAAGTGTAGTCTTAGCAGGAGCAGCAGCGACAGGAATAGGCAGATTCACAGTCTGTGAAGGGTCTGAATACGGGCCGGTTGTTTTAGGGGAAGCGGCCGTGGCAGAAGCTGCAGCAGCGGTGGAGAGGACGGACGCTTGCAGGAGCTTGTTGGGAAGAGTTGTGGGTTCAGATGCGTCGGAATATGGGCCTGAGGTAGATGATGCGCGGAGGGGAAGTGATGCAAGGGGAGGGAGAGGGGAGGAGGCGTTTTCGAATGATAGTGTAGGACATGCCGTTGAGAATGGGCTTGACTTGGCAAGGGAGGAAGAAAGCGGTGAAGTATGTCAAGCGGGAATCAGGCGAGCCACGAGAACGGAGAGGATGTGGGGTCATAGCAAGAGAATGCGTGCTAGATGGAGGGGGATGATGATATGAGGAGAGTAGACCAACCGGTGCTCTAAGCTTGTGTGCTCTGTCTCACCTTTTGCAGCCACGGATGCTCCCGCTAGCGGCGTCACTGCTGGCAATGAGGCGGGAAAGCGCAGAGGGGAGACAGAGGGAAAGGGGGCGGACGGGGAGTGGGGAGAGGAGAAGGAAAGGGGGAAGAGAGAGGAGTCGTTGGAGAGAGGGAGGAAAGGCAGAGGGAGGGAAAGGGAGGGAAGGAGGAGGGAGGGAGGGAGGGAGAGGGGTTGGGAACGATTGAAGGAGGGAGGGAGGGAGGGAGGGAGGGAGGGAGGGAGGGAGGGAGGGAGGGAGAGGGGTTGCGAGAGAAAGAAAGAGGTGGGCAGAAGAGAAGAAACCAAGCAACCAGTCAAGTAAGCCGCGAGTTAAAGCAAGCTCGGTTTTTTTTAATACATTTGCAAACCTTCTTTCGTCATCTCGCTAAAGCCGTTCACTTCAGCCTGCAACAAGACAAGACGGATAACACTTGATCGACGCAAAACTCTCAACCAATCCGCTCCCTCCCTCGCCCCCTTACGCACACTCCCCCCCCCCCCCCCCCCCCCCCCCCCCCGCTTGTTTCGTGTTCCCCGCTCCCGCTCCCTCACTTTCCCATCTCCCATTGTTTTCGCGACTTTGCGTTTCCAGCATCAACCTACGCGCTCGTACCTTCCGCTGGTGCCGCCGAATTGGCGAGCTTCTTCCGCCCTACCGCCACTCCGCCCACCACAATCAGCGCCAGCCCGATCGCCCCGAGCAGCACTCCGCCCTGCGCTCCGCCGATCCCCCCCGCGCCCCCGGCTCCCCCCGCCGCCGTCCCCACAGACGTGATCAGCGCCTGCGCCTTAGCCTTCACCGCAGTGACGGCGGCGGTTGCAGCGGCACCTAATCCGGCGGACGACCCCGACTCGTCGACGTTCTTAATCACTATGCGGTCTTGGAGGCCAGGCGGCGCGGTGCCGGTCCAGGCGGAGGAGGGAACGCGCAGCATATCGCCCTCGTAGATTACGTCGCCGCTGTTGGCGATGAAATCGGTGTTTGCGCGGATGAAATCCGCGGGCGTGCAGTTGAAGGTGCGCGCGAGCACGCGGAGCGAGTCGCCCCTCCCCACGCGCACGAAGACTTGCACAGACTGAGAAATGGGGACGAGCGGAGCGGGGGGCAGGGGAGGGGAAGGGGAAGAGGGGGGGACGGGAGAGGAAGGGAAGAGGAAAGGGGGGGGGGGGGGGGAGGGAGGAGAGTGGAAAGAGGGTTGGAGGAGGGAGAAGGGGAGGGAGGAAGAGGATGAGGAAGGGAGTTGTGAGGCGTGAGAGCGAGAGAACGGGGCGCATAGAATGGTAATAAAGTGCACTAAGACAGGCAGTAAGCGGACGCAGTGTGCCCGCATTTCTGTATTGTGTCATTATGTTCATTGCACGCTGAAACATAAGTATCTGAACAAAACGAAGGAGTTACATGCTTCCGAACTGCCCGACTGTGAAACTAATTTTGGTTGCTTGATATTCTTCTTACCCAGAAATAAAGCCTCAGCACTATGCTTCACCTAAGAAGGTGCATAATTTGAAAACTGTAGCACGAGTGCGGAGCAGCGAAAAAACTTGCAGGAAGTCTTGAACAACAACAACAAAAAAACAGAATAGAAACAAACGAACTGACAATAAAAAATTAAAACGAAGACACTCTACAACGGAACTATGCATAAAGGTGCGCATTACCTGGCCGGCCTCGGCGCGAATGTTAGGCAGCTGAGGTCCCTTGGACGAGCCGACGACGGGCGACGCGCTCCCTCCCTCGGCCTTCATACCGAGAAAACCGCTCCGCATGGGAGCACTATACTGCGTACTCCGCGCCGGCCGCGACGCGCCACGTGTCGTGCCTGCTGCCGTGGCGCTGCCAGCTGGCAGCGCGAGGTCGGTGAGACACACTGAAGACGCCGCCATTGCCAGGAGAGTTGTAAGTGGTCGCGTCAGAGCGAGAGGAACGAGCGGCAGTGGGTGCTGGCTTCGCCAGGCGTTCTATCGGGCTCCGCTCGAGCGTGCTTCCGATGCGAGGAAGCAAAATAAGTGTCTTTCTCTAAACCAGCCTCTAACACACAGTATGGGTGAGAGGCTTGGGTTGGGTGGCCCTGGTCTGGTGCAGCACCAGCCAAAGAAGGGCAGATTGGTGGTAGGGGGCGGGGGCGACCCTATCTGCAAAAGCTTGGCTGGCTGGCGCAGCAAGGTTTGTTGTAGGTGGCGCAAGAAGTTGAGGGAACTGGCGGAAGGGGTTTGGCTTGGCGGTGACGGGAGGAGGGCACCTCCCCTTTCACCTCCACTTGATCCTCGAATCGCAGGCGGCTTGGCCGAGCTTCCAGCACCCACCACAAATCAGGGAAAAGGCAGTTGAGATTGTTGCGAGAAGAATTGTGTACGAATGGCGGCGATAAATCCACGAAGAGCATCGGTTGACTAAGTGTGTGGCGTCAAACTGATGTTGATGGTTGCGAAAGCGAAGGCGAAGGTGGCCGCATTTCGCTCACGAACCTGAAGGGGCTGAACCTGGTGAAGCTCAGAAAGTGCTTCGGCAATGATTCGTTCAGATTGCCGTGATTGCGGCCATCTGGAACCGCACGCAACACCTTCGTTTTGTGGCTGGTATTCGCTTCCCTCGCTATTCATAGCGCAAAGGAATCCCGATTCAACCAATCATGAAGCCGCGTCCAACAAGCCGAAAAGGGTTCGAGAATGAGCTTGGACGAATGACAACCAGATAATTTCATGTCTGTCCGCTCTATGATATCCCTACTGCAAGTATCAAGGCGACCCTAACAAGAGCTGATGTAAGATGAAGATATGATTACTAACACAAAAAGGAATTCTGTACAGGTCACGGATTTAAAACCATTCTAGTTTAATACAATGCACTTTTATGTGGAATGTATGGTGTTGTTGGTCCGCATTTACTGATACCTTACCAGATTGATGAAACATATATTCCCCAGAAACGTAAATTATGAATGATGTGCTAAAATGCAAGTCTGGAATGTATAGTAGTAAATTTAGACGTTAAAAATTCAAGCTTCCGTAACTTGTAAGCTTATGCGAAAGAAACCCTGCTCAAAGGTCGGCATCCGGGTTCGTCCATATCGAAGTTTCCCGCCAAAACCCTTCAATTCAAATGCTCGCACAACAGCGTCGGGACAGGAGCACGCCTGAGAAGGACGAAGCCATCTCTTGTAGCAGTCCAACCTAGGGCATCTCCTAACTCTTCGCTATTTGCGTATGTTCCCTGGTCAGGATGGCACGTGTGGTCATTCCGTCGTCCCGCTCGTGTCGCCTCGACTCTGTCTTGTCGGGAAAAGGCCGTTCCAAATTTTAATCCCACACCAGCAATTACGCGTCGGGAGAATGTCACTATGCATTGCAAGCACCATTATAACCCCTAGACCGTCCTCGTAGCCACAGTACGCGCTTCTAATAACAGCCACGCAGTACTTGTCAAGTCACCTCCTCCTCTATCGAATGAATAATCACGGAAAAATCTCAGATAATGCGGACGCTACCATGCGGGTACTATCATCCTCCCCACATTCGCCAGCCTTTAGAGCCCGGCCCGCTAGTTCTCCCACTCCCCATCTAAACGCCGGGAATATTGCATCCGATGCTGGCGACTCGGCGAATGCAGCTGCTGCAGCATCTACTGCCAACGGTGCCGCAGCTTTTGTCGCTACTACAACCAGCGTCTCCGCGCGCTCCGCTTCCGCCACGACCTGCTGCTCCGCGCCTGCAGGGCCCCCGCCTGCACCCTCCGCGACTTCCGCTTCCGCCCATTCAGATTCCGCCCACGCCGTTTCCGCCCCTTCAGCCTCCGCCGCAGCCCCGAAGGAGCTGCACATTGGCGGCTACCGCGTGCTGTTCCCCCACACCCCATACCCTCCGCAAATACAGCTCATGGCTAAGATGATCTCCGCGCTCGACGCCTCCCTCTCCCCCCATGCGCTCCCCCGCGCCCAACCCCACGCCCCTCCGCCCGCGCGCGCGCGTATGGGCAGCACGAACGCGCTGCTCGAGTCCCCCACGGGCACGGGGAAGACCCTCGCGCTGCTGTGTGCGGCGCTGGCGTGGCAGAAGCGCGCCAAGGAGGACCCCGCGCGGCTCGCGCAGGCGCACGCAGGGGGTGCGGGGACTGCGGGGGCTGGCGGAAGCGGTGGCGGTAATGACGGGGATCCTTATACTACTGGGGGAGGGTTCATTGTCCCAGATGCTGACGGTGAGTGGAGTGGAGGGACGCTGAGTATAGTGAAGTGATGAAGCGCATGGGTAGGGCGCTGGTGATGATGGGCGCAGGTGATGGGCGCAGGTGATGGGCGCAGGATATAGGCGCAGGTGATGGGCGCAGGTGATGGGCGCAGGTGATGAGCGCAGGTGATGGGCGCAGGTGGGCGTGCAGCTCCGTGACAGGGCGTTGTGAGTCGCTCGGCATTGTTATCGTGCGAGAAACAAGTCAGCTCAGCAGGCCTGAGACAGTCAAGTCAACTAGAGACAGTCAGCCTGAGGCAGGCAGCCGGCCGATCTGTGTTTCGTCCTGTTCTCATTCCTGTCAGTTGGAGCCTGGATCGTCGAAACACTCAGGCCCCAAAACCCTAGCATGCTTGCTGCTGCTGCTGCTGCTGCTGCTGCAGTCTATCCTCTGTCAGAGGCAACTTTGACTCAACTGTGGCTTCGTTACAATAGCTCCCGCGATGTGCTGGCTGCAGCAATTTCCCAGCCACTGTCTGTCTGATATGTGTTGTGTCCCGCTGTTAGATTCAACACGCCCGCTGCTGCTCTGAAGCAAAACGAGAAGGACACCCACACATCTTGCGATAGCTGTGCATGTTATGATTGCTTCGTCTGTTCCTTCCGCTTCCATCGCTCTTTCTCGTCTCTCCCGCTTTCCTTCTGCTTCAGGCACGGGAATGGGAGAGGGCGCAGGCGAGGAGGGAGACGAGCCGGAGAATGGCAGAGGAAGCGCGGATTTAGAGATGGAAGGACAGGGCGACGTGCAGCGGAAGGGGCATCAGGGCGGGCAGCAGCAGGGAAAACCGGCTCAGAACGTGCCGGCTGTTCACTTCCCCAGGATCTTCTATGCCTCGTAAGGGGCCTGGCTTGTTTTTTTTAGTTGACTCAAAAAGAAGCAGGGAAAGCACGGCCCATAACTTGGTGGCTGCTCACTTCCGTTCCCGAAGATCTTGTATGCCTCGTCGTAAGGGGCTTGACTTGGATGGGTTTGTTTCAGTTCAGGAGAATTGAGCTGGCAGTGATTTGGGAGGGACTGGAGTGATGGATGAATTGACTCATCTCACCCCTCTGCCTCCGGCCCCTCGCCCCCTGCCCCTTGCCCCCTGCCCCGTCGTCCCCGCCCCCGGCCCCTAGCCCCCTGCCCGTTCCCCCCCCCCCCTCCCCCCCCCCCCCCCCGACCACAGGCGCAGGTGGTGCGGGAGCTGCGCAAGAGCAGGTACTCGCATTTCCAGACGTCTCAAAATTCATCCACACCCTCCTTTTCCCCCACTCTGCCTCTCCCCACTTCCCTCTCTCTCTCCCACGTCCGTCGTGCCCCCTGACCACAGGCGCACGCACAGCCAGATATCTCAAGTGGTGCGGGAGCTGCGCAAGAGCAGCTACTCCCCTTGTGAGCCGTCTCAGAAACACGCCCTCGTCCTCCTTCCCCCACACTCCCCGCCCTCCACTCGTGCGCCACCACAGGCGCACGCACAGCCAGATATCGCAGGTGGTGCGGGAGCTGCGCAAGAGCAGCTACTCGCCTACCATGACCGTGCTTGTGCGTGCACCCAGGGCTTGTGCAGGGTTTGGGATAAGGGATTGTTGTGGGGTTTGGGGTGGTTGGAAGGTTTGGGGTTTAGAGTTGGGGGTTGTTGCGGGTTTGGAGTTGGGGGCGATTGAGAGTAAACATCAAAGTAGCAGCAGAGTTTGGACCATCTATCTGTGCTGTTGTGTCATTCATGCCACCCTCTCTCTGTTCGCCACCCCTTTGATGAGTGGAAGCGCTTTGCTGTGCTGTGCTGTGCTGTGCTTTGTTTGACCCTACCCCACATCACACCACAGCACCGCACCATACGTCCTGGTCTGGTCCCTGTGCCAAAATCGCAACTGCTACCTGCTATACCGCTGCTTTTGAGGCGCCTCAAAAGTCTGCTTTTTAGGCACTTAGGATTCTTGATGTACCCTTTATGAGATGTCCCATTTCTTTTATAGACGCGTCAAATCAAAATGTTTCGAGACGCCTTGAAAGGCTTGATGTTCCTCCGCCCCTGACCCCATCCGATGATCCTAGTGACAACTTTTCAAACTACTAACAACCTTAACCCTGCCGTCTCACTTACCCATCCCCTCCCCACTTGCCTCTTCTCGCCCTCGCCCCCTGCCTTGTTCTTCTTCCATCGCCCTTCCCAGTTTACGATTCCTAGTGTCATGTCACCTTTCAAGTGCCCAAACTCTGTGTGACTTTCTCTAGCTCTCTGGCTGCTCCCTCTCCCCTGCTGGCCATACCACTGCCTCCACTGCCACCACTATCACCACTATCACCATTGTCACCACCCCCTATCCTCCAGGCATCGCGCAAGCACTACTGCTGCAACAACACTGCGCTCAAGAAACCGTCTGTTGACGAGGCATGGTGGGTTCTGCTCTGCTCTCATCATCCTCCCCAGAGAGTCATTACCCACCATGCACGCCTCGTTTCTCAAGAAACGTTATCACTAGCAGTGCTTTGTTTACAACCGCTCATCACCCAAGCGTCATCTCTCTAGCTTCAGGGGAACAGCAATTCTGGCTTTTTTTGGGCCCTGATGCCTCACTTTCACGCCTTGCCTTCTGCTAACATCACATGTACACACACACAAGCGATCGTCTGTGCGTCTGTGTTCGTTCCACTCGTCTTGATCCGTTTCTCTCAAGTCAACTTGCACTACCCTGCTCTGCTCTGCTCTGCCCTGCCGTGCGTGCTTGCACTACGACCCTTGCACTCAGCTTGTGGCATCTCTCTCTGCTGCTTTCTCATATCATAGTCTGCCATCCTCTCGTTCGTGACTCCGGTCCTTGTGTGTATCTCGGCCTTCTTCATCTGCCATGCATCTCAGCAAGGCTCTCTTATCCCCGGGTCTCGTGCAAGAAACCGACGACGAGACGCAGCAAGTCACTGCCACTGGCTGCATCTTCTTCCGGTAATCCCCCTCCCTTACCCCCTCTTTCCCTTCCGAGAGTTTTCAAAAGCGACCCAAGTTTTGTGCCAGGCAGTAGAAAATGAGGTGCAGCAAGTCTCAGGCACTGGCTGCATCTTCTTCTGATAACCCCCCTCCCTTCTCTTTCCCTTCTCTCGCTGTCTGTCTGTCCTCCTCTTCCTCTTCCTCGTCCTCGTTTCCTTCCTTCCCCGCTTCCCCATCCTCTCGTGCTTCAACTCATCTCTCTTCGTACCTCCCACACTCCGCTTGTCTCAGCGCAATGCACTTGCACTTGTTTGCCTGCCGCTTCTATCTCTAACCCCTCAGGAAGTGAGGTTGTTTTTGAGACGTCTCAAAAATTTGCCTGCCGCTTCTATCTCTAACCCCTCAGTGCAATGCAATGCAACCACTAGCCCCAACCTGAACTGCGCCTCATAACATCCTCTTTCCAGCCGCCCCCGCCTCCACCCTAGCTCCTCGTCCAAACCCATCCCACACAGCAGTATCATCACCGCCCCGCCCTCTTCTCACACCACATCCATTCCCCTCTTTAGCCCCCCGTACCACAAACTCCCTCTCTTCTCTCCTCTCCTCTTCTCTACTCGACATATGTCTTGTTGCTCCCTTCCTCCCTCATTCCCAGCAACTACGCTGAACTGAAGGGCCATCCTTCACTGCAGCCCGGAGGGCCCCTGGCAGTGCACGATGTGGAGGACCTGGTGAAGCTGGGGAGGCGCACCAAAGGTGCGTGGGTGCATGCGTGCGTGTATGGTCATGAACATGTGATGTGACTATGTGCGCGCGGTGAGGACTGCTAGAAGACCCCCTGGCAGGGCACGATGTGGAGGACCTGGTGAAGCTGGGGAAACGCACCAAAGGTGCGTGGGTGCGTGCGTGATCATAAACGGAGGCTACTGGTTGACTAAAATGACTCCCTGGCAGGGCACGATGTGGAGGACCTGGTGAAGCTGGGGAAGCGCACCAAAGGTGCGTGGGTGTGCGCGTGCGTGGGCGCGTGGTCATGAACCTGGGAGCACAATTTGTTGAGTTAGAAGACCTCTTGGAGAAGCTGGGCCGACACAACGAAGGCGGGTGTGCATGCATGCATGCATGGCGCTCATGACGAGCATTGAGCTCATGACCTCATGACTGCCTGCTTGACTGCTTGACTGCATGACCCCTTGACCCCTTGACCCCTTGACCTCATGACCTCATGACCCCATGACCCCACTAGGTCAGTCCAACCGCTGGGTCATCCACTGGTGCTACGAATCTACGTGGTCTTGATGCTTTTGCGTCTGCTTCTGCTGTTCCTCCTGCTGCAAGCTATCTGGTGTCTCATCTGCGTTGCTGGTGGAGTAACACTCACTACTTTCCTCCCTCTCAGGTGCTCCCTTGCTTTTTTCGCTCTCTCCCCTCCAACCTTCCCCCCTTCTTCCCTCCACCCTCTTGATCCTCCTCCCAGGGTGCCCGTACTTTGCAGCGCAGGCAGCGACAGTGGATATGCGTGTGGCGTTGTGACGGTTAGTCATGTGACAGTCAGTACTTCCCCTCTCTCTCGCTTCCAGGGTGCCCGTACGTTGCAGCACGCGCAGCAGCAGCGGAGGACGTGGATGTGGTGATGTGTCCATACCATACAACTACATGCTGTCGCCCATGGTGCGGCGCAGCATGGTGCCTCAACTGCGTTGGCGTTAGTGGGAGGGGTAGTGCTTCCCTTCCCTCCCATTCGGCTGACTTCTTGCTCTCTCCCTCCCTCCCTCCCTCCCTCCCCTCCAATCTGCCCCCCTGCTTTCTCCCTCGCAATGCACCCTCCCGGACCACCTTGCAGGGTGCCCGTACTATGCAGCGCGAGCAGCAGCAGAGGACGTGGATGTGGTGATGTGTCCATACAACTACGTGCTGTCTCCCATGGTGCGCCGCAGCATGGACATTCGTCTGGACGGCAGCATTCTCATATTCGACGAAGCACAGTTGAGTCGCTCTGTGTTTGTGTGTGTGTGCGTGTGAGTGTATGTGTGTCTGCTTTTGAGGCGCCTCAAAAGTTGTGTGTGTGTGCGTGTGAGTGTATGTGTGTCTGCTTTTGAGGCGCCTCAAAAGTTGTGTGTGTGTGCGTGTGAGTGTATGTGTGTCTGCTTTTGAGGCGCCTCAAAAGCTGTGTGTGTGTGCGTGTGAGTGTATGTGTGTCTGCTTTTGAGGCGCCTCAAAAGTTGTGTATGTGTGTCTGTGCGCTGGTGGTGCGGCACAGCATGGACATTCGTCTGGACGGGAGCATTCATGCGCATTTGAGGCACAGTTGAGTCTTCGATGAGGCACAGTTGAGTCTTCGATGAGGCACAGTTGAGTCTTCGATGAGGCACAGTTGAGTCTTCGATGAGGCACAGTTGAGTCTTCGATGAGGCACAGTTGAGTCGTTTTGTGTGTGTGAGTTCGTGCATGCGCGCGGATGTGTGTGTGTGTGTGTGTGTGTGTGTGTGTGTGTGTGCGCGCGCGTGTGTGTGTGTGTGTGTGTGTGTGTGTGTGGGTGTGTGTATGTCTGTGTGTCAGAGTGTCTCACTATGGCATTTTCTGTCAGTTGAAATGGCTCGCCACGACCAGGTGTGTGGTGAGGAACAGTGCTGGGTTGGCTCAACACCCCTCAACACCTATCAACATCCCCCAACACCTCAGCACCACTTTCTGCTGCCTCCTGCCACCAACCCACGCCCCCCGCCCTCCTCTCATCTCCCCGCCCGCACTGCACCAATTGTGTCATGCCGTCATCTCTGCATGCCTGCTCTTCTCTCCCGTGATCCCTCTGATATGCTCTGCCCTGCCCTGCTCTCCCTTCCTCTCCCTGCCGCTCCGCTCATCCCGTTTCTCCCCCTCTCTCTCTCCTACCCAGCAACATAGAGGATGTGTCCAGGGAGGCAGCGAGCTTTGAGGCCTGTGTCTCTGAATTTCAGGGTAAATTTCTCCTGCTGCTGCTGCTGCTGCTGCTGCTAGAATATGCGATGCTGCTGCTGCTGCTTCTGCTGCCGCTGCTTTAGCTTTATAGCTTCGCCTGCTCACTCGCCTTCTGCTGCTGATCTTGCTTGCGCTATGATCCTCTGACGCCATCCCTCCTCTTGCCTTGATTAGCTATGCTTGGATTGCTTGCTCATTTCGTGCTTCCTCTCCGTTTTTCCTTCCTACCTTCTCCTTTTTGCATCTTGACCTTCCAAGTGCCTTTCCCTCCTTCCCCTTCCCCTTCCCCTTCCCCTTCCCTTCCCTCCCTCCCTCCCTCCCTCCCTCCCTCCCTCCCTCTCTCCCCTCTCCTGCCTATTTTCCTCTGCATTTCCTCTCTTAATCTTTCCTCCTTGCACCTCCTCTCCTCCCCCTTCTCCCATCCTCTGCCAATCCGACACCACTGCAGAGTTAGCACGGGAGTTAGAAGCACTAGCCAAGCCACCAACTCCTGTCAGACTGCCACACATGCTTGGACAGCCGGCAGCAGCTGGCAGGCGGAGAGGAGGGAGAGGAAGAGGTGGTGACGGGGAGAGTGGTATTATAGGGCCAGAGGAGGGACGAGAGGGAGGAGAGGGAGGAGAGGGAGAGGAGGACTGGTTGCCCATTCCCTCTGAGGAGGACTATGCCAGGGTCTACGCCCCCTTGGCAGATGCGATCACTGTGAGTCAACCTGGATTCATCTCTCTCTGCACACCTCCTCTGAGGCCTATTGCAGATGCAATCATTCTGACTTCATGATTCATCGTCTCGCTATCCTGCTATTGTTTCCCCACGATGCTCCCCAGGTTTTTTGTTTTGTTTTTTTTTTTTTGTTTTTTTTATGTTTTTTTGTTTTTTTTTGTTTTTCCCGTATATGTGTGTTGTGCCCCCTTCGTCTCTGGCCTTATTTCCACCACTTTGCATGCGCGACCCTTTCCATCAAAACCCCCTTTTCCTTCTCCCTGTTCACCACCCCACTCCTCCCCCACCCCATACCTCCCCCTCCCCCCCGCCTCTCCCTCCCTCCACGCCCCTTTCTTCCTTCCCCTCAAAGGCTCTCTCAGAGTGGCTGAATCAGCAGAGTGAACGGTTGCTGGCGCAACAGAAGCACAAGCGGGGGAGGAGTGGCTCCAAGGCTTCTTTTCATAACAGCAATCCGTCAGACGATGCTATTGTGTACGTTCTGCCACCCTCTCCCTTCCCATGTCTTCCCTCAATGTTCATTAATTATTTTGTTTTTATTCTTTATCACCAACATCTTCTCCTACTCCTCCTCCTCCTCCTCCTCATCCTCCTCCTCCTCCTCCTCCTCCTCCTCCTCCTCCTCCTCCTCCTCCTCCTCCTCCTCCTCCTCCTCCTCCTCCTCCTCCTCCTCCTCCTCCTCCTCCTCCTCCTCCTCCTCCTCCTCCTCCTCCTCCTCCTCCTCCTCCTCCTCCTCCTCCTCCTCCTCCTCCTCCTCCTCCTCCTCCTCCTCCTCCTCCTCCTCCTCCTCCTCCTCCTCCTCCTCCTCCTCCTCCTCTTCCTCCTCTTGCTTGCACTGCTAATGCATCTGCTTGCGGGTGTGATAGCCATCAAGTGTACAAGTCCAAACCCATGCACCCTCCTCACACATCCCTTCTATTTCCTCTCCGCTCCTTGAGCCAAACCTCATGGCCAGGCCAGGAAACCGGTAACACCAGTAAATCTCCCCATCTGCCACACGACAAGCCCAGTATCTCCTCCTCTCCCCCATAACCTCTCCTCGTTCTTGCCCTTCCCTTCCCGCCTGCTCCGGTCCTCTCCTCTCCTCGTCCCACCACCCACCACCCCCAGTCTTGCAGGGGACCAGATCCTCGCCGCCCTGTCTCTTGCAGGCTTTCCGCTGGCCCACTTCCCACTGCTTCTGCAGTGCTCCAACAAGGTATTGTCCATCCATCCCTCCATCTGTCCTTCGGCCTGTCAGTCTGCCCGGCTACTGCCCTGCTTCGGCCCTGCTACTGCCCTGCTACTTCCCTGTTACTGTCCTGCTTCGGCCCTCCTACTGCCCTGCCCTCCAAGTGCACACTCTTCTTTTGCGAGGTGTATGCACGCATTTGCCTGTGTATTCAATGTCTTATATTGTGCTGGCCATATGTCATGTCACCTCGTCTGCTTCATCCAGTGCGTTATGTGTGCCCCATGTGGAACTTCTTTTGCAAGAGTAGGAAGAGGTTCAACCGCAGCAAGCCTACAGATCTCGCGCGTTCAGTGAGAAAATACTAAGACTATTCTCATGTGGATCTTCTTTTCATCATCCACAGTAGCAGTGTGATTGTCTGCTTCATCTAAGCGTCCCTGGAAGCACACTCTGAAAGCCCTGCTCCCTCCTCCTCTCCTCTACACCCTGCCTGCAGGGCATGCCATGCATACGTTTCACCGCAACACTCAGTTCTCACTCTCCCATATGTCTGTGACTGCAACTGCATTTGGTGCATCTGCGTGTGCATCTGCATTTTGTGCATCTGCGTGTGCATCTGCATTTTGTGCATCTGCGTGTGCATCTGCATGTGCATGTGGTGCATCTGTGGCCGCGGCTGCGCCCCCAATCAACCAGGCCCTGTTTCTGGCGCGCAGTGACAAGGCTGTGGGCTTCCAGGTGTCTGCCAAGGGTGCTGCTCTTCTGGACGGTACGTGTGTGCCCGGATGCAGGTGCAAGCATTGCAGCATCTGTTCGTGACGTGACCTTCGCATCCGTATCTCAACAGTTTTTTCCTTCCCACTGGTGAAACCCTCTTTTCCGTTTCTTTCTCTCTTTTTTTTCCTCGTACTTTCTCACTTTCCCTCACCCACCCTCGCTCTCCCTCACTCTCCCTCGATCTCCTATACTCTCCCGCGCTCTCCCTCGCCCTCTCCCTTGTTCGCCTCTCCCCCCTTCGCCAGGGCTCTTCACAGTGCTCTCTTCCATTCTCAGCGATGGCTGCAAGGCCCTGCCAGACTGCTTTTGTGGCGCCTCAAAAGTCGTTCCCCTCTCTCCGCTCTCCCCTTCCCTTCTGCGCCAGGGCTCTTCACAGTGCTCTCTTTCATTCTCAGCGATGGCTGCAAGGCCCTGCCAGACTACCGCATGCTCGTGCACGCACCCACTGCTGCTCCGCCCTCTGCTGCTGCTGCTGCTGCTACTTCTGGTGCTGGGACAGTCACAGACGGCAAGACTGCAGGTCAGGGAGAGGAGCAGCAGAAGCAGCAGCAGCAGCAGCAGTGGCGCTTCTCCTTGTGGTGCCTCAACCCCGCTGTTGCGTTCCGATCAGTAGCTTCGGCCTGTCGCACCATTGTGCTCACGTCCGGGTGAGCAACACAACACGCGTCAAAATGCGACGAGGTGTATCATCATGAGACGTCTTCAAAGCACAATGGAAGTAGGGCATGCGCCGTCCGCTTGTTTTGTCGCTCCATCCATTGTGCTACTGAGGGAGCTCCAAGTAGGAGCCATGACTTGACTTTTGAGAATTCTCTAAAGAGATCTCCAAGTAGGAGCCACGACTTTACGTGGCAGCGGCTTTTAGTGGCACGATTTTTGTCGCTCCGTCCATCGTGCTACTCACATCTGACTGGGCAGCGCGCGTCAAAGCAGGATTTTGGAGTCACAATGGAGTATGATTGCGTGTGTGTGTGTGTGCGCGTGCGCGCGCACGCTTGCGTGCCCGTGTGTGTGCGTGCGTGCGTGTGTGTGCATGTGCGTGTGTCTGCGTCTGTGACTCTGCCTCTGTGTGCGTGGGATGCGAGCAGCACGCTATCTCCCACAGAGTCCTTCGCATCAGAGCTAGGAATCGACTTCACATTCATGTGTGTGTGCGTGTGTGCACGTGTACGTGTGTCTGTGCCTCTGCCTGCCTGTGTGCATGGGATGCGAGCAGCACACTATCTCCCACAGAGTCCTTCGCATCAGAGCTAGGAATCGACTTCACATTCATGTGTGTGTGCGTGTGTGCACGTGTACGTGTGTCTGTGCCTCTGCCTGCCTGTGTGCATGGGATGCGAGCAGCACGCTATCTCCCACAGAGTCCTTCGCATCGGAGCTAGGAATCGACTTCACATGCACCATGGAGGGCATGCATGTTGTCGACTCCACCACCCAGGTACGCTGCCGCTCGTTACCACTCATTACCCCTCACTGCCGCTCACTACCACTCACTACCATGCTCTATCGCTCACTCCCATTCCCTATCACTCAATCCCACTCACTGCCACTCGCCACCATCCCTCCTCCCTGTTCAGTCTCTCCCTCCTCCCTACCTCTCCCACTCTCCCTACCTCTCCCCCTTCCCAGGTGTGGGCAGGCGTCATCCCCAGGGGTCCCTCAGGTCTCAGCCTCAACGCCAGCTACGCTAACGCATGCTCGCCTGTCTTCCAGGTCCGTCCGTCCATCCGCCTGGCCTGATCTGATCCGCCTGTCCCACGTGCATGGATGAAAAAGCGCCCCTATCCACCTTCCAGGTCCGTCCGTCCGTCCGTCCGTCCGTCCGTCCGTCCCCTATCTGGCGGCAACGCCAGCATGAGTGCTCTGAACGTCCTGCCCCTGCCCCGCTCTTCCAGCAGCACCAGTAGGCCTTGCCCCTACCTTGAGGATTCTCATTTCCTAACAACCCTCCCTGCATCCCAACCCACCCCACCACGCGCCGCCCATCAGGACGAGTTAGCAGAGGCGCTGCTGCCGATACTGGCAGCGACGCCAGGGGGGATGCTGCTGTTCCTGCCGTCCTTCTGGCTGTTGGACGCCCTCTGTGCTCGCTGGAAGGCCACATCCGCATGGCACCGCCTCTCCTCCCTCAAAAAGATCTTCTGCGGTCAGTGTTTAACATTTCCGTCCAGGTGTGTTTTGAATCGACTCTATGGTGTGCATTCGTGTGTTTCGAGTTGGTTCAAAGGGTGTGAGTTTTGAGTCGAATCAAATCAAAATGCACCTGTCTTGAGTTGATTTTCAAACACTCTGGAGGGATGCTGCTGTTCCTGCCGTCCTTCTGGCTGTTGGACGCCCTCTGTGCTCGCTGGAAGGCCACTGCTGCTTGGCACTGCCTCTCCTCCCTCAAAAATATTATCTGCGGTCAGTTTCTTAAATTTCTAAATATCACACCTAAGCAATCCGAGCCGACTGTAACGGAATTGAATTGACTTCAAAACAGATGTACGTCGAGACTCCTCGTCTTGCAAGCTGCGGTCAGGTTGCGCCCCTTTTCAGGCTCCTCGTCATGGCTTCACGCGCTCACACAGTTGTAGCTAGTTACCCCCCCCCACCTGCTGTGGTGACAAGTCGGTTCTTGAAAATTCTCAAATGCCCCCGCCTGTTGTTTGCTGACTTGTTCGAGTTAGCATGCGGTTCTCACTTGTGTGTGGAGGGAGGTCCCAGTCAGGGTGATCATGCCGAGGATTTGCTGAAGTTGCTGCTTCCTGTCCAGAGGTGATAGGTTGGTGATGCGGGTTGTGATTTACAGGATTGTGGATTGAAGATTGTGGGTGTTGTTGTTTCCTCCTCATCCCTCCCCTCTGCCATCATTGCCTCTCTTTCTCCTGCGCTCTCGCTCTCGCTCGGCCTCTCATGTGCAGAGCCCAGGGGGGTGGAAAAGCTAGAGGGGGGGTTAGCGCGGAACAGGCGAGAAGTGATTTTTGAGTCCACTCAAAATTCACCTCTTTCTCTCGTTCTCTCTTTCTCTCTCACGCGCAGAGCCCAGGGGAGTGGAGAAGCTAGAAGGAGTGTTAACACGGTACAGGCGGGAAGTGCAGCAGAGTGCGACCAAGCCATGGACCCCCCTCGCAGTGCCACAACATTCCTCTGGAGCAGCACCAGGGGGCGCACGAGCAGAGGCATCCGCTGCAGCAGCTGAGACATCGGATGTAGAAGAGGGAGGGAAGGGGAGGGGGGTGCGGTGGAGAGTGGGTGGGACCGCGGGGGGGAAAGGCAGAGGAAGCAATGGAGCCATGCTGATGGCCGTGTGCCGCGGCAAGGTGAGGTGTCAGTGGGAGGTAGAGATGTGTGGGAGGGTGTGGTGGGAAAGACTTTCGAGTCGACTCGAAAGGCAATGGAGCCATGCTGATGGCCGTGTGCCGCGGGAAGGTGAGGTGTTGGTGGGAGGTGGAGATGTGGGAGGGTGTGGTGGGGCAGTTAAGATAGGAAAGGTGAGACAGTTCCCACTTTTGAGACGTCTCAAAAGACAGTTCCCACCGCAGTTTGATGGTCATGGATGGATAGTAGTGAACCTGTTTCACCACATTGTTTTAGTTTCTGAAAATGCAGCTTCTACACCACTCCCCTCCTTCATCTCGCTCCTCCCTCTTAATTGTTTCAAATTCTCCTCGCTTCCCTCGTGCAGGCATCGGAAGGCATTGACTTTGCAGATGACTCTGCACGTGCTGTGGTGAGATCGCCAACCCTTTAAGCTCACCCACCCACCCACCCAGGCACTCAATTCATTACTATCTTATCGAATCCAATCCAATCCACTCACCTCATAAGCACTCACCTCATGAGCACTCACCTCATGAGTACTCACCTCATAAGCACTCACCTCATAAGCACTCACCTCATAAGCACCTGTCACACTACAGAGTTGTCTCTCCTCCCGCCCCCCCGCGTCTCCCTACAACCTGGCATGGCACAACTGCTCCGTTCTGGTCTTCCTGCTTTGAAGTACTGACTACCCTTCTATTTCCGTTTTCGTCCCCACCTGAACAACTCGCGGATTGGAAGCTCAAAGCTCAGGAACCAGTAGTATCGCTTCTCAGACAGATACCATCCGTCCGTCCTTTCTGAATACCCTGAATGCCCTTGCATTGCAGGTGGTCGTCGGCATTCCATTCCCCAACATGTAAGGCCTCTCTCTCCCCCACTTCCCCATCAACCCCCTCTCCGATCAGCCTGGCTGGCACTCGAAACGACTTGTGCTGCCAGAATCCCAAACGCCTTTCTCTTTTGGATCCATGCTCTGCTCACTCTCCTCGAAATTCCTGCAGGGTGTTTCTGAGAATTCTCAAAAACACCGGAACGACTTGTGCTGCCAGAATCCCAAACGCCTTTTTCTTTTGGATCCATGCTCTGCTCACTCTCCTCGAAATCCCGTCACGCTGCCTTTACTGTTGTCGACTGCGACACTGCCGGACACTTTTGCCGTCTCCCTCCCCTTCTCTCTCTTCTCCTCTCCCTCCTTTCCTCCTCTGTCTTCACCTGCCCCCTTTCCTCCTTCAACCCCTCCTCTCTCGTCCTAGACGCATCCACAGTCGTCGTCACCCATGATAGAAAAGGCATGAGTGTTTAAGAGTTTGCTTACACAACAATGGACAAGAAAACGATATATCTCTTGCCACACCCGCTGACGTTTGCTTGCTATTTTGCACCAGATCCGCTCGCACTATTCCCTTCATCCTCCCATCCATCTCCCCTTCTTCCTTCCAGTAAGTGTCTCCAGGTCACACTGAAGAAGGCATACAACAACCAGGCAGCAGCACAGCCACCACCACCACCGCCACAGCCCTTTTCCCACTTGGAAGGATTCAACCAGCAGCACCACCGCCAACAGCAGCAGCAGCAGCACCAGCACCACCACCAACAGCAGCACCAGCACCACCACCAACAGCAGCAGCAGCACCAGCAGCACCACCACGAACAGCAGCAGCACCACCAGCAGCACCACCAGCAGCAGCAGCCACGCTTGCAGCGGCTCAACGGGGACCAGTGGTACCGGCAAAATGCATTTCGCGCTCTCAACCAGGCCATCGGTAACGTCACTCTCGACCTCTCTGCCCTCTTCCCTATGTATCCCCTCTCATCCCTTCTTTACTGGGTAAGGCACTGGCAGGGGGAAGAAAGCGGTACGAACAAGCAAGAAGCACGAGATAGAATGATTTATTAGTCCACTAAAATTTGGTAAAAACAAGGAATATCCACATCTTTATTTTTCCAATTGCCAATACTTTTTCCAATGCCCTCAATGCCCTTGTTATTATGCCAGGACGATGCATCCGCCATCGGTTCGACTATGGAGCCATCATCCTGCTGGGTATGTGATGTTTCGCACTTCCTTTCCCCCTGCATAGCATGCCTGTAATAGCTGTGTATGGATTCGATATTTTGCAGACCAATGCAACATACTTACTCACATTAACACACCACACTCACTCACACGCCACACCCACAAACACCACACATGCAGACACACGCCACACGGATTCCTTGAGAGAAAGTCTGCGTTTTCTGGCAGCGCTTCGCATTCATTCTGTGCTACATACCGAATTCGACATTGAAAACTATCAGACGCGAACCCGGTTTACCCCATCCCATCCTACCCACGACTCTGTCCTGCTTTCTCCCATGCCGTGCTTGTGCGACCGAATCACATCTCTCCCTCCTCCTCCTCCTCCTCCTCCTCCTCCTCCTCCTCCTCCTCCTCCTCCTCCTCCTCCTCCTCCTCCTCCTCCTCCTCCTCCTCCTCCTCCTCCTCCTCCTCCTCCTCCTCCTCCTCCTCCTCATCATCATCATCATACACTCCTTTTTCCCCACCTTCATTTTCCCTCTTCCTCCCCTCCATCCATTCTTTCCCCCTGGCCTCCCCAATAGACGACCGCCTGCTCTCGCCGCACCTGCAGCAGCAGATGTAATGTTGAGACGTCTCGAAAATACCCTCTATACACGTCTCTTCCTCCCCTCCATCCATCCTTTCCCCCTGGCCTCCCCAATAGACGATCGCCTGCTCTCGCCACACCTGCAGCAGCAGATGCCCCGGTGGTTGCGCTCCCAGCTGTGCGTGCATGCCACCCCCTCTGCTGCCTCCGCTTCCCTCTCTGCGTTCTTCACCCAGGCTAAGGTGGGAAAGAGTGTATGCGTGTGGGGTGGGAAATGGTGGGAAGGCGTTGTTGTTGCTGTTTGTGTGTAGCCCCACCTGCAGCAGCAGATGCCCCGGGGCTGCGCTCTTAGCTGCTGTGCGTGCATGCCAACCCTTCTGCAGCCTCCTCTGCCCTCTCTGCGTCCTTCACCCGAGCTAAGGTGGGTCGGCTGTGTGTGTGTGGGGTGGTAAATGCTCCCCCGAGGTGGGGGTTGGGGGAATTTGGGGAGGCAAAAGTGGGAAGGCTGTGTATGTATGTGTGTGGGGTAAATGCTGGTGACTGCTACGGATGAATGTTTGTCCCGGCAACCCCTCCTTATGTCCCCTTCCTGCCCTCCCTTTCTCCACCCGTCTTCCTCCCCCAGTTGACCCCCTTTGCTCTGTCGTTCAGAATTTTAGTCAATCCACTCCCTGTCAAGATTGACAGGGTCAACACCTGATTTCTCAACCGACCCTCTTCATCTCCTTCCCTTTCCAACCTCTGTGTGTCTTACTCCCATACACACCCACATCCATCCTCCCACCCGCCCCTGTGTCCGCCCTCACTTCCACACCTCCGCCAACAACTGTACCCCACACCATCAGCGCAGACCAAGGCAGGCATCCCTAGCAAGGGAGGCACGGCCTGTCTTGAACCGCCTCAAAACTCCATTCCTCCACCCGCCCCCATGTATGCTCTCCTTCCACACCTCCCTCCGCCAGCAACTGTATCCCACACCATCAGCGCAGACCAAGGGAGGCGTCCCTAGCAAGGGAGGCACTGCCAAGGCAATATCCGAGTTGCCTCGGAACGCCAAGTCATGCGATCTCGGCAGGAATGCCACTGCTGGGCTGATGTTTGAGGCGCCTCAATCTACCAAGCCTGGTGATGTAAGCAACGGTTTTACGACCACAGTGACTGGCTTCCAGTGTGCACAGTCAGACAGGCAAGGCGGGGTGGGGGTAGGAGGGGGAAACGGGGGGAAAGGGGGAAAAGGGGGAGAACGAAGGGAAAGAGAGGGAAGGGGGGCGGTTGAGAGGGATTCCATGCATGCACATGGTGTGGAGGGAGAGGAGATGGGTAGAGAGGGGGACGGGATTGTAAAGGAGGAAGAGGAAGAAGATGAGGGAGGAAATGGCGTAGAGATGGTGGTGGAGAGGGGTTTTGCAGTGGGGAAATTGCAGGATTTGGAGAATGTTGAGGGTGTGGGAGAGGAGGGAGAGGAGGGTGGGAGAGGGAAAGGTGTGGTGAAAGGTAAAGGTAGACCTGGAGGCGGAAAGGCTGGTTACAAAGTGGTTCGTAGGGGTGCGAAGCGCGATGCTGTTGGTGAAGGGTTCAGGACACGTAACAAGATTCAGAAGGCTAAAGAAGGGGTAAAACAGAAGGGGAGGGTGGGGGGAGAGGAGGATGAGGACGAAGAGGAAATGGGTGAGGAAGTGAAAGGGGATGAGGAAGAGGAGGAAAATGAAGATGATGGTAATAACAGGGAGAGGAAGGGAACAAAGAGGGGATATAAAAAGCTTCGGAATGAGAAACAGAAGCAAAAGGAGAAGCAGAAGCAGAGGCAGAGGCAGAGGATGGGGCAGAAGTCAAGGAGTCGAGGGCAAAGTATGCACAAGAACATGTCGGTTCAGACAGAGGAAGGATATGAGGAGGAAGAGGAGGAAGGAGAGAAGGGTGGTGGGAAGGGTGAGACGGAGGAGCAGAAGCAGAGAGAGAAGCGGGTGTGTAGAGTAGTAAGTGGAGGGAGAGGGATGATGAGAGCAGAGAGCACATTGGGTGAGACGGTCTGTGTGGATGGTCGGATGGTGAAGGACAGCAAGTGTCAGCGCTGCCCTGCGATGAACGGTGGAGCTGAAGCTGCTTTTGAGGCGCCTCAAGAGACGGCCCGTGTGGATGGTCGGATGGTGAACGACAGCAAGTGTGAGCATTGCCCTGTGATGAACGGTGGAGCTGAAGCTGCTGTTGGTTGCTGTGCTGCTGCTGCTGCTGCAACTGGTGCTGCTGATGCTGCTGATTTTGCTGATGCTCCTGCTGATGCTGCTGGTGTGACCACTGCTTGTGCCAAGAACACGACTCTGGCGACGGGTAGCAACAGGGGGGGGATCTTGACTGACGCAACGCAGCCTCCTGATTTTCACTCCTTCAGGTACGAGCGTGTGTGGTGAGGTGAGGCGATTTTTGAGCTGTTAGAAATGTTAGAAAGAAAGAATCACTCGTTGAGGTACGAGAATCTGTTTTCATGGCACCTCATCGTCAAGTGATAACTTGATAACTTCTGAGGCTCTCAACAGCACCTCAAAAGTCAAGTGCTGAGAGAGGCTGCTGTTGAGGGTGCTGTTGAGGCTGCTGTTGAGGGTGCTAGTAATCAGGCACGAGAATCTGACTTGGGTCAGTCTAGTGCTTAATCCAGTCTGACAACTAGGCAAACCTTCATGCCACACTTAACCATGCTGCAGCTGCCATGTTGACTTTTGAGTCGACTCGAAAGTCACCTCGTTACCATGGCACATGACACATTTTAGTCAAACCTTCATGCCATACATATCCATCCTGTATGTTCAGCATGCTGACTGAGCTGATTATTAGTAAGTCTAAGTTACGACTAGCCATGTCACGTTGAGGCACGACAGAAGGAGGAAGGCTAGGCTGCATATGTAAACATTCAATCCAGCTTGCTTGCTGCTGCCTGCCACACCTATATTTTTAATAGATTGGATGATACAGCCATGCTTGTTGCTGCTGCCACGCCTTCCAGTCTACATCTCTGCATTCGTTCGTTCAACTTCACCCGCCCTGTCCTTATCTGTTCAAATCTACAAAACTCTATATCATCTTCCCCACCGCTACCCTCCCTCCCCACCTCGACTTCCCAAACCACCCCCCAGTACCCCAACTTCGCCTTTCCCCACTTCCTAATTCTGTTTCCCCTCCCGCCGCATGTCACTGCTATCTCAACGTGAGACGCGCAGGTGTGTTCGTCCCATCAGCTCTAAGCTCAATCCGCGAAGCCAGGCATGTTCCATATCACAGCATGCAGCAGTAACAACAGCAGCAGTAACAACAGCAGCAGCAGCAGCAGCAGCAGCAGCAGCAGCAGTAACAGCAGCAGCAGAAGCAGCAGCAGCAGCAGCAGCAGCAGCAGCAGCAACAACAGCACCAGCAACAACATCAGCAGCAGCAGTACTACCACCAACACAAGAACTCCCAATATCATCATCACCAACAGCAACAACAGCAGTGTCAACGTTACAGCAAAAGAAGCAACAACAAAAACGACCACCCCCCATCCACTCTCTCCCTCCCCTCCATCCTCTCCCTCCCCTCCATCCCCAGCCGAACCTCTCACACTCTCTGCCAAAGCCCCTTAAACCCGCCTCCCCTCACTCCTCATCACCCCCTCCCCACCCCTCTTCCCTCTACCCCTCACACACAACCCATCACACACCTCCCCCAAACCTAAACTTTTCTGCTGCCTCCTCTCATCCCTCACCCCCTCTTCCTCCCCTCACCTCCCACCGCACCCAACCTCTCCCTTTACCCTTCTCACCGCAACCCTCCTCCCTCACCTCCCACCCGTCCCAACCTTCCCCCTCCCATCCTTCCCTGCCCCTTTTCTCCCCGCACCCCGCCTCCTCTTCCTCCCCTGATGCCTCTCAGCCCCCTGCATCCCGCCATTCGCCCCACCTCCGGCCCCAGTCTTCCCGCCGCCCCTCCCCTCTCAGTCCCTTGCTCTCTCACAGGCGTGCAAGCATGAGGGCTCGGCTGGAGTCGTTTCTGGGGGATAGGGAGGAGGAGGGGGAGGGCAAAGCGGAAGGGGAAGGGGAAGGGGAAGGGGAAGGGGAAGGGGAAGGGGAAGGGGAAGGGGAAGGGAAATGGGAGAGGGAAGGGGAGGGGAAAGGGGAGGGAAAAGGGGAGGGGAAGGGGGGCGGGGAGGGCGGGGGGCAGCAGCGTGGGGCGGATTCAGCCTGTGAGAGGGGGCAAGATAGATTTGCTGGGATGGGTGGTTCATATGGAGTAAGGAGAGACGTGCTGTCAGACGTAGCGGGCAGATATGACGGACCAGGCAGAATGGGTTTGGAAAATCAGGCGGCAAGAGGGCGTGACGGGTGTGGCTTGAGGGCGAGTCAGACGGAACTCTATACGGTTGTCACTGGAGAGGATGTGAAGAAGAGAGAGAGTTGTGATGAGGTTAAGGATATGGATAGAAGAAGCAAGATGGAGGGGCGTCTAGAAGTCAAAGGGAAGGGAGGAGGGAAGTGCAGAGAAGAGAGGGGCGCAACGAGTTTGGCACAGGCATGCCGATTGGGATGGACGGCGAGAGAAGAGGAGAGAGATGCAGTTGTTCGGAGTGAGGCTGTGCGTGGGGAGGCGGCGGGAAGTAGTCGGAAGAGGGAACGGCGATGGGAAGCGGAGGAGGGCGGCGGTGATGGGGGCATGGACGCTATTCGGCGTGTGCTGGGGTTTGAGGATATGGAATCAGTGGTGGTGGTGGTGCAGGCATGTGGGGAGGATAGCTGCGGCTTTTCGGTTGGAGGAAAGGAAGGGAGCAGTGGGAAGGCTGGTGAGTGCAGTGTCCCAAGCGCCGGGCCGGTTGCACGAGCCGCAGCTGCAGCAATAACAGCAGCGACAGCAACAGCAGCCGTGAAAGCAACAAACGCAGCAACGACAGCAATGGTAAAACGAGCAGCAGGAGGAGCAGCAAGCGCAGCAGTAGCCGGAGAAGCAGATTTTGTAGGGCTTGCAGGGACTCGTGCAGCATATGCGCAAGAGCAAGAGCGTACAGGGATCGCTTTCGCAACGACCGAGCAAAAGCCATCCCTGTCTCACTCATTCGCGCCTGTAGCTCGTCTCGGTTGTTCTCCTCAGACGTCACAGCAAGATCAACAGCAGCTGGAACAACAGGAACAATGGCAGGGGACGCGTGGTTATCGAAATCAGTATGCGCAGCAGCATCAGCACCACCAACATCAACATCAGCAGCAGCAAGAACAAGTGCAGCAGCAGCAACTGCAGCAACAGCACCACCAACAGCAACAGCAACAGCAGCAACAGCAACAGCAACAGCAACAGCAACAGCAGCAACAGCAACAGCAACAGCAGCAGCAACAGCACAGCACAGCAACAGCAGCAGCAGCAGCAGCAGCAGCAGCAGCAGCAGCAGCGCAGCAGCAGCAGCAGCAGCAGCAGCAGCAGCAGCAGCAGCAGCAGCAGCAGCAGCAGCAGCAGCAGCAGCAGCAGCAGCAGCAGCAGCAGCAGCAGCAGCAGCAGCAGCAGCAGCAGCAGCAGCAGCAGCAGCAGCAGCAGCAGCAGCAGCAGCAGCAGCAGCAGCAGCAGCAGCAGCAGCAGCAGCAGCAGCAGCAGCAGCAGCAGCAGCAGCAGCAGCAGCAGCAGCAGCAGCAGCAGCAGCAGCAGCAGCAGCAGCAGCAGCAGCAGCAGCAGCAGCAGCAGCAGCAGCAGCAGCAGCAGCAGCAGCAGCAGCAGCAGCAGCAGCAGCAGCAGCAGCAGCAGCAGCAGCAGCAGCAGCAGCAGCAGCAGCAGCAGCAGCAGCAGCAGCAGCAGCAGCAGCAGCAGCAGCAGCAGCAGCAGCAGCAGCAGCAGCAGCAGCAGCAGCAGCAGCAGCAGCAGCAGCAGCAGCAGCAGCAGCAGCAGCAGCAGCAGCAGCAGCAGCAGCAACAGCAGCAACAACAGCAACAGCAACCGCAACAACAGCAACAGCAACAGCAACCGCAACAACAGCAACAGCAACAGCAACCGCAACAACAGCAACAGCAACAGCAACCGCAACAACAGCAACAGCAACAGCAACCGCAACAACAGCAACAGCAACAGCAACCGCAACAACAGCAACAGCAACAGCAACCGCAACAACAGCAACAGCAACAGCAACCGCAACAACAGCAACAGCAACAGCTGCAACAGCAGCATCATTGTCTGGTTGCAGAGTGTCGTGTGTGCCATAGTGCTCTCCTTATCTGCCCACCCAACCTCGCCCTCACCCTCAGCGACCTCACAAGAGGATTTGCAGTCTCCTCGCCTTTCGCACTCACAACGTTCACTCCATTCTCACCCACTTCTCCGCCTCCCCGTGCGCCCTCTCCTGCTGCTCCCACACAAACCAGCACCCTATGCAATGCTTCGCCGCCTGTCCCTTCAACTGCCACCCCTGCATGCTACCCCACCAGTCCGCCCCACCCACCAGTAATAACCACTGGCGCAGCCAATGAAACTATCACTGAAGCAACCCCTCGCGGAACCCTTCGAGCAAGCACTGGAACTCTGTGTTTTCAAACCCCTGGCACCTCCAGTGTCCAGTCATCAGCATTAGCAGCAGCAGCAGCAGCAGCGGTATCAGTGCTGGCACAGCCTTCTGTGCCTCGTCCTGTGAGATTGCAGGGCAGGCCGGCTCTGTGGGCGCTGTGCCATGGGGAGAAGAGGGCGGAGAGGGCAGAGAGGGATGGGGAAGTGAAAGCGGTGGCCGTGTTTGTATTGGGTGATGGGGGTGGTTTGCTAGGGGGACAGAAGGGCAGGGTTAGTGTAACGCAGGAGAAGGAACAGCACTGGTGGCAGCAGCAGCAGACTCACTTGCAGCGGACTCAGCAGCAGCATAATTCGCACAATCAGCAACAGCAACAACAACAACAACAACAGCGACCGCAGCAGCAGGAGAACTGTATTGGGCAGCGAGGGACCGAGCAGCAGCAGACATGGAACCGCCGTGGTTCTTCATTCTTCGCTGTTTCCGGGGGGCAGTGGAAGCCCACTGATGGGTGCGTGTACGCTGCACTGCGCTGTGGAGCATGCAATGAAGCACGCACTGCTGCCGCCGCTGCTGGTGGTGTTTCTGCCTTTGCTGCCGCTGCTGCTGCTGGTCGGGAAGAGGCTGGTCCAGTGGTGGGCGTGCATGTACTGGCAAGTGACGCTGACAGCACAACATTCATTGACAAGGTAAAATATTCTCTCTGCTCATGATTGTGGTCAAGCCCTTTGACTTTTGAGTCGACTCAAAAATCGCTTGGCCTCTACTGCTGCTGCTGGTGCGGAGGAGGCTGGTCCAGTGGTGGTGGGCGTGCATGTGCTGGCAGGTGACGTCGACAGCACAGCACTCATTGGAAAGGTGAGATGCTTTTACCTTTGCTCATGGTTGTTGAGTCCTTTTTTCTCACATTGAGGCGCCTCAAAAGATTTTGGCTCTGAATCCAAGGTTTGAGAGCTTCCACATGCTTATACTAGCTCTGGAAGGCGTTACTACTACTACAAGGCTTTCTCTTTCTAATGCATATCCCTCTCTTCTGTGCCGTTGATGCGAAGGAAACATCTTCTCTGCCTTGCCCTCCCTTTTCCATATCTTGTTGTTTCCCTCTTATTCTATCCTCTTTCCTGCCATCCCTTTTCCAGATCTTATTGTTCCCTGGTCGTGTGCTGTGGAAATTACCTCCGTGATTATATTCATTCAAAGCATGACTCGGGGAATACATGACCATCAGATTAACACTGTATGTACACCTGTTAATGTCATCATTCACTTTTCTCTTTTCGCAACGGCTTCTCTGAAAAAAGCATATATAAAAGTCAGACATATCAGATTAAACAGTCTGAAGCCTAAAATCTTGCTGAAGAGTGTTAGTATATTTGAACATTGGGCAGCTAAGGAAATCCACAGTGCGTGTAGATAGCCTTTTTTTCTGAAATATAGTCGAGAGAAGAAAATAAGCTTGTTTTCAAACGATAATTGATTCAACAGTTTCGACAACAATTTCCAGATTCATTCATCATGTCTAGCTGTAACACAAGGTTTTGTACATTCACATCCATCTTAAGAATACTACCATGTCTGCTTCTCTCCAACTGCTACCAAATCTATTATTATCTCTGCCTCCATTTCTTCTTCTCCCTACGCATGCTAAGCTTGCACCTTTCACTCCCACAATCCATCACCCCTTTCCTCACCCTCCCCCTTTCCCTGACCACCTCTCCCTCCACCCCGCCTTTCCTTCCGTTCCCAAGTCAGTTTTTATCTTCTTCCACCATCAACCCCAACGATCTCGCCTCCTCTATCAAATTTCCTACGGTTTCCCTCCTCTCTCCAGCGTAAAGTGTGCCTACCCATGCACACGCATGCACACGCATGCACACGCATGCACACGCATGCACACGCATGCACACCTATCCACACATGTACACCCATGTACACTCCATTCCATTGCGCGACACAGTTTTGACAACCCTCGATCCTCTTTACAATTCATCCCCTTGTCCACAACCTCCTCCCCCACTTCCACCTCCCATTCACCTTTCCTTCAATTCCATTTCACTTCCTCCTATTACCCCCCCCAATGCCCTGAGAAACGCTCCAAACGGCATCTTCTCTTCACAACACGCCACATTTGCACAGTATCACCACAACCTCACTGTAACCCTCCACCTCCCATATCTCGCCTCCATCTGATCGTGATCTGACTTCTCCTCCTTTCCTCCTTTTCCTGCCGCTCTCTTCTTTCTCTCCTTTTCCTCCCTTCCCTTCCTTTTCCTTTCCCCCTCTCCGCCCCTCCCCTCTACACTCTCTTCCAGCAAGCATAACATTTCAGGCACTCCACTGCTACATTCATCGCACAAGTGCTCTCCTCCTCTCCTCCTCTCCTCATCTCCTCCTCTCCCCCTCTCCTCCTCTCCTCCTCTCCTTCTCTCCTCATCTCCTCCTCTCCTCCTCTCCTCCTCTCCTCCTCTCCTCATCTCCTCCTCTCCTCATCTCCTCCTCTCCTCCTCTCCTCCTCTCCTCCTCTCCTTCTCTCCTCCTCTCCTCCTCTCCTCTCCTCTCTCTCTACCAGAACCTCCCTTTCCTCAAGCGTGAACCCCATCCGCCCCTTCCTCCACCTCCCCCTTTCCCTTTTCCCCCTCCCACACTGCCCTCACCCTCCTCCCCCACGCCTTCAAGCGAGTTCAACTGAGACAGTGACAAGGAACGCGCTGAAGATTGGGAGCGGGGTGTGACAGACACAGACCCATCATCCTGGGAGCGAGTTGACGACCGTGGTGTGTTGGCAGAGCCACGGGCGGAGTCCCCCTCTCCCTCCCACTGCCCTCTCGCACTCCGAAACTCCTCCTCTTCCTCTTCCTCTTCGTCCTCCTCTTCCTCTTCTTCCTCCTTTGCTTTCCCATTACGTCCTGCTGCTACTGCTGCCAGCCCTTCCCTTGCTCCTGCTCCTGCTCCTGCTGCTCCTCCTCCTCCTGCTGCTACTGCTCTCCTGCTGCCAGTCGTGTTCAACCTCTGCCCTGGAGCAACAGGCTCGTTCTCACTGCTCTCCTGACCTTCCCGTCTCCAGTTCAAATCCACATATGCTCGCATCTCCTCTTCCCCTTCCTCCTCCTCCACCTCTCCACCATCCTCCTCTGTACTTGCAAACTCCAGATCATCCTCCTCCTCTTCCTCCTCCTTTCCCTCCTCTTCTGCAATCTCCACATTACACCTCACTCGCCGCCTCACCTCATCTCCCTCACCCCCCACGCCTCCTCTCCCTCCTCCTCCCCGGCCAGCAAACCCATGAGAAGGACTGAACACATCCAAGTCACGCGCATAGTACACCCTCCCTGCATCCTCCTCCTCCTCCATCTCCCACACCCCTCCTCTGCCTCCTCCTCCTAATGACCCTCCTCCTTCTGACAACCCTCCTCGTCCCCCCTCTGTCCGCACACCTGCCCCTGTTTCCTGGCTGCGATTCAGCCTATCAGCAGCACCACCACGACCACCAGCGGCAACTTGAAAGCCAGTAGCAGGGATATCCCCAGCCCTTGCCTGAGCCCCTGTTCTTCCCCACGCCTCTCTTCCTGCTTCTCTCCTTCCCCATGCCTCACGCCCACCTCCCACCATCGTGCCACCGTACTCACTCTGCGCCCTCCTCCCAAGTTCTGTCCTCCCATTCCTCAGCCATTGCCTCTGCTGCACAGGCATCTCCACTCGCCTCCCCTCCTCTCTCACCGCTCTCCACCTCGCATCACCAACTCCAGCTGCCCTCCACCGCCCTGCACCCTGTCCGTTTACTCCTTCCAACCCTCCTATCTCTGTATCACGTATCTCACCTTGCCCTCTCATGCCCATTCCTCCTCCCATTCCTTGCATCCCCTCTCCCATCCCAACTCCCCCTCCTCCCATCCCTCCTCCCACCCCTCCCCCTACCTCTTGCCCCAACTCACCATTCCCATCCACCCCACCACCATCATCCTCGCTACTGTCAGACTCACTAATCCCTGACACCCCACTGAAAGTGAACGCGCTCTCTTCTTCCTCTGAATAGGTCACCTTAGCCCGAGGCCTGAACGCCCCTGGGCTGTTGATTTCCCTTAGCGGACTGGCAACAGTTGCAGCAGCAGCAGCCAGAGCAGCAGCAGCAGCAGCAGGAGGAGGAGGAGGAGGAGGAGGAGGAGGAGGAGGAGGAGGAGGAGGAGGAGGAGGAGGAGGAGGAGGAGGAGGAGGAGGAGGAGGAGGAGGAGGAGGAGGAGGAGCAGTATCAGGAGCAGGAGCAGGAGAAGGGGAGGGAGGCGCAGGAGGAGCAGGAGCAGGAGGAGGAGCAGCAGGAACATGCCCAGCTCTCACCATCCCTCCCCCTCTTCCCTCCACCCCAGCTGCCCCGGCCTCCACCCCTGCACCTCCTGCTGTTGTTGCAGCCATTCGTGTTTCTAGCATCTCTCTCACTCCTCCTATCCCTTGACCAGTCAACATCCCCCCAGTGCCTGCAGTTGCTGCTTCTGCTGTGGGTGGTGGTACTGCTGGCAGCAGCAGCAGGGGAGGTTGCATCTGCTCAGGAGCAGTGGCGCCAAGGGCAGGTGGTAACTGGAGCGGGTTTTCGAAGTGCTGCTGGTGCTGGTATGCCAGGGGGAGGTGGTATCTGTTTGTGAAGGCGGTTGTGGGAGGTACTGCGGGCAGCCTGGTAAAGCAGGAGACAGAAGAGAGGAGAGGACAAGAGAGGGGAGGGGAGGGGAGGAGAGGGGATGGGAGGAGAGCGGATCGGACGGGAGGGGAGGAGATGAAGAGGAGGGGAAATGAGTACGTACAATCTGCGATTGGTCACAGGAGATGGGAATGAAAAAGCAGTGCCCGGATCATATGTCTTGCGCAAATCACATGGCAGCAGTGAGATACCATGCACTACCGCTGGGAACACCTTCTGAACCGACTCATAAGGCACCGCACTCACATCATGCGAATGTGGCGGTCACGGTCATCACCGTAATTATATCCCCCATGTGTGGGAAACACCGCATCCTCTCAGCATGTCAGCGAACTGCACCGCCAGCTGTATCACGCGCAGCTTCAAGATGACTCAAATGTCGACTTATAAGGCATCGCACTCACATCATGCGAATGCGGTGGTCATCGTTATCATCGTATCCATGGGGGAACACGGCATCTTCCAGCATGTCAGTGAACCGCTCCGCCAGCTGTATCACGCGGCGCGGCAGGACCGGCGCCACCCACTGAACTGCTGCCACGTGGATGGGCTGCTCCAGATGCATGCGGGTGAATGGTTGCGCGGCAGGAGGGGGGGAGGTGAGAAGGGAGAAGTGGGAGGGGAGGGAGGGGAGAGGAGGGCAGCAAGGAGAAAGGAAGGAGCAGCATCAATCGCAAGGTGTTGGAGCGAGGGCCAAGAGCACATGGTCCATTTTTCATTCCATTCACGCCAACGCCCACCATTCCATTACCTTCCCACACCTACTGCCATGACACAGCCCCAACCAGGTCAATGCAATTCCTCCTCAACGTAAATTCTCTGCCTGCCCAGCCGAACCCATCCCACCCCACACCACCCCACCCCACCCCAACCCAACCCAACCCAACCCTGCCAAGGCGAGCACATTACCCCAAGAGTGCCGTAGAGGTCGTCCAGCTCCTCCACCAGCTGCAGCGCCCACAACCAAGCTCAGCGGCTGGCCCAGCCCAGCCCAGGTCAACCCATCCCATCACAGCCCAGCCCAACCCACCCTAGCCCGCTCCATCCCAGCCTGGCATATTACCCCGAGAGTGCCATAGAGGTCGTCCAACTCCTCCACCAGCTGCAGCGCCCAGCCCTGTGGAATGGCGCCCAGCTGTATTGACAGCTGGTGGCGTGGTGAGCACCGGGGGGGTGGGAGACGGGGGGCGGACGGGGGGAAAGTGTTAGGGGCCTAAAAAGTAGTTGCAGCGCAAAGCCCTATGATAAGAGCGGTAGTGGGGCAAGGTGAGTTCCAAATAATAACGGATGATGGGGGTACACAGTTCCATTGACTTCGAAGCACCAGAGGGAGGGAGGGACTTACAACAGCAGAAGGCGCCGTGTCTAGAGTGAGGGGGAGCTGGATCAGGCGTGCGAATTGACTCTGACGTCGATCCAAGTGCAGCAAGGATACATACAGCATCAGCGGGTGCGATGGTGCAGTCGCTAGAGTGAGGAACAACTGTAGGAAGCATATGAGGGTACAAGAGAAGCTCACAGCAGCAGAGGGCGCGGTGACAAGAGTGAGGAGGAGCTGGAGCAGGCGAGCGAGGGAGCGGGGCAGGAAGGAGTGGCCGAGGTGAGCGAGCGCGATGGCAGTGACGAGCCAGGTGTAGAAGAGCACTCGCACAGCCTGCCGTGCCCCGCCTGGCAGGGCTGCTGTGCGCAGCAGGCGCGCGAGGAGAGCGGAGTGCTGAGGGGCTTGAAGAGGCAGCTTGGAGCGACTGTTGAAGGACGGAGAGACGGAGGGGGAAAGGGAGGGAGGGCGAGAGAGGGGAAAGGCGAGAGGGGGAAGGTGGCGGGAGAGGGAAGGTTGGAGGGGGATGGCAGTGACGAGCCAGATTTTGAAGAGCTCCCCCACCACCTGCCGTGCACCTCCTCAGAGGACAATCGTGCGCAGGGCGTATTGTGGACGGATATAAAAGGGCAGCTTAGTACGACTGTTGAGGCGGGTGGGTGGGGAGGAAAGGGGAACGGGTTGGAGGGAGATGGGAGCACGGACGGAGAGATTATCCGTATGTTGAGTTAAGGTGTGTGTTAAGTCGTACGCAGGTGCAGGCAGGGCCAACAAGCCGTGTGTGATTTGCCTATCAACTGAGGGGGTTAGCCTGTTTTGATAAATTATCTATACCGGTACCAGGTAAACGTGAAGGGCGGTCACAAAAGGGCATGTGCAAATGATTGCATGTTGCTGCTAACCAGTAATGTCCTTCACTATCCTGTCAACTCACTAAGACATGTCACATAACGAGACCTAGCCTGGCTGAGCTGTTGCAATAAAGGTGGGCCTGACCTGGGATCATCCATGAGGAAACACCGCTGGTGCGATTTACAGTACGATCTACGATTGTGTCAGCTGTGAATCTGATTTGTTGAAACACCTTAGGTCGCAGGGAGATTTGTGTTGCTCGTCATATTGAAGAATCAGGAACTGATCTGAAGAAACACGTTTGCTGATGCAGAGCTGAACGAACACGGAGACTTTGGGAAAACTAGCCATAGACGAGGTGCGGCAAAGTAGCGCCGGAGTCGTCGCCGCGACCTCAGACAACCTCAGAGGGGGGGTCATGTACTCTCTGCTGGAACAGTAGCAGACTCGTACAATCAGGGAGCTGTCCCTGCGTATGTTCTGCTGTGTCATGAAGTGGTGGAGGGAAAGGGAAGTCACCTAGATTTCTCCAACTTCAAATTTGATGAATGTGGCAATGTGGAGCCGCGCATGGAGAGTAGCTGGATGCGCTGCGACTTTTGCGAAGCCCACGTTACAGTTCATCTTTATCGCTACGTGGGTCCAAGCTGACGTGGGTAGCTGGCTGAACCGCAATACTGCACTCAGGTCACGGTTCTGGGCGAAGTTTGCCCGCCATCAGCTCAAAATGGCCCTCAATGACGTGTAAAAACACTCTATCATTGGTCATCACACAAAATTCCAGATATATTGGAGCATGGAAGCCAATCAGACGTGTACTTTCGTCTATACTTGTCCCTACTTCGGATGGCGGGCGAACTTCAGAACCGCGATCTCATTTTGCTGTGGAACACGAAGTACACCTCGTGTGTGTGTGTAGTTTTACATGTTCCACCTGACGGACTTCAGTGACAAGGCAGCAACAGACACGTGGCAAGCGAATGCTTCCCTGCACCATGATGTTCCGTCCGCGCATTTCCACATTCGGAAATTCTTGTTTGAGCATGCGGCTCGACTGTCCATTCAGGTTGGCACTCCCTCTTCCCCTCCCCACCCCAGTCAAACAGCAAGCCAAGACAGGTTTTCTTCTCCAAGTGCTTTTACGTTGTCTCCAGTGCAGTCCTGCGCTTCACTGTGATTTCTGATCTTAGTGGCCCCTTAGCAATTGGATAGCCCTTTTTTTTCATCGTGCTCCGCTTTCTCATCGTCTGAAGTAAACCTATGGCCCAGTCCAAGCCTTCGAAAGAAGAGGCAAGACACGTTATCGCAGCTTTCTGAAACTAAGGATTCTAGTGCAATTCTTTACAAGAATATTTACGATTCGCATTTTTCACCAAATTTCGCGGACTCTCATTCTCATGCGTTCTGTTCTTACCTTCTTGATGTACCTTGGCGGTGCATGCGCTCCAGGAAGCACTGTTCGCGTATCAGGAGGAAACGGGGATTGGTACCGGGCCTGAATACGAGTATCCGAAGACGGCAAAAGAGGACCCCGAGACTCCGATTGTGGACGCACCGGGCCCCGAGGAAGGGAAGGGAGGAGAGGACGCGCCGGGGGAGGACGCTCCTGAGCTGACGGAGAAAGAAGTTGAAGGTATTCTTCTTCATGGACAGATATTCTTTCTTGGCAAATGCATCTCCGTGTGCTTACTTATCATATAGACAGTGACGGTGATTAATTATGCCACTGCTCCCTTTCTTTTTGTGGCGCTGACGCGTGCACACGGCGGATAACAGAGGAAGAGTCCTTGGAGCAAGAGGCGGCCAGGGAATGGACCGAGGACATGGCACAGAACGTTCCGCAGCCAGGCGATGTGCCCACTGGGATACCCGAGGACACCGAGAGACTGCCTAGTGACCGAGGCTAGTAGGCCCCGCACGCTTCGTGGATCATCAGTATGCCATAGGATTCAGTGTTCAGATTTTCCGGGGGTTTGGGTTGTTCCTGCTTGTTTGGGAATCTGTATATAGTATGAATCTGGAATATTAAAAAGGGTTTTCACAATGTTCGCATCCGTGGATGTTCGCATCCGTGGATGCGCTTATTGGTCGCTCCGTATTGAAGCTACAGAGTCTTAAACAATGGAAACGATATTGTGGGCGCGCCAATGTTTCTTCAGTTCAGAAACTGGAAGCGCGCACGACTGTCAGTCCGCTTCCGAGGCGTCGCTGTTCCGTACTTCCATTCCGCGCACCTTGCTCCTGAATAGCACTGTTACTTGGGGGGTGTGCACGGCGACTTGCGCTTGCAGTCCGTGAGACCGGAGGGACCGCAACGGCAGCGCGAGCACCAGTTGCCCGGCTCGGGAATGTCGGTGGTGCCCACCGCGTAGTAGCGCATGCCCCACGTCTCTCCCGCCGAATTGCACGCCATGGGGGAAACTGATGGGATTGCCAGGCAGGGGAAGAGGTTGGAGAAGGTGAGAGATGTGGAGAATATAATCGTTGGTGGCAGGTAGAATTGGAAACTGCAGGAACAGGATTCGTTGCGTTTCAACTTACTTGTCTGAGGCGCAGTGCACACTCCAGAGTCCGCCCCGTTGGCTCCCACCTTGTTAATGAAGCACCTGCAGCCAACACAGCAAGGGATTCGCAACAAAATGAGACGCTGTACAAAGTCCCGCGAAGCAAGAAGCGGTTGAGTGAAGGGGCCGGAAGGCTTGGCCGGGAAAGGGAGGATTATGCCAGTGCGAACGGGCAGATGGGAAAAACCGGAAACGGGTGAGGTTGAAACGCCGGGGAAGATAGGGAAGGGACTCACGAGGACTGGGTCATCGGGCAAGTCGAGCCTGCAGCAAGCAGCCCATTCAGGCCAATCTTGCAGGGGGTTCCGCCACCGCCGATGCCGCTGGTGGTGGCACCGCTGTCGCACACGCAGGTGGCGGTCGCCGTCGAAGCCTTACGCTTCGGCGACGAAGCCGCGCGAACGAATGCGGCATTGGTAGTCGTCGCGCTGCCGCCTCGCTGCAGCGTGCAGGTGCAGCGAGGGCAATTGGGGTTCCCGGGGATGTTGCTCGTGCCCACGGCGTAAGGTTGCGACGCGAACGCGCAGTAGGGACCATCTGGAAGGGCGGGATGAGCATTTTGGGTGCAATGCCTTAGTAGGGCACAGGCTGTAATTTTTCACTGATGCTACCCGACCAACTTTTGTGAGTGGAGAATGGAGAGAAGGAAGACATCTGATGATACAGGAGCAAACGCCTGCGGATGCTTCACTGAATAAGCCGTTTGTTTCGAAACTACGCGACCTTCCAAGTGCATGAGCTACAATCACGCGAGCTTACTGAAGTAGGTGCTGTTGCAGATTCCTGAGATGCGAGTATCGCTGGCGCCGCGCGCAGGGATCTTGTTCACAACGCATCTGTTGTAGGGAGGTGGGACGTGGATGCAAGATTGGACACAGGTGACGGCAGCAAAAGAGTTAAGAGCATTGAGTTGAACACAGATTCGGATTTTCACGCGGTGTTTGCAAGTGCCCGTTACACAATTGAACGTTCTCTCGCGCTCCATGGGATCCCCCGCTCGCGACAATCCCAAGGAGAAAAGTGCTGCTACTCACGTGGCAACGCCTCCAGCGCACGGCTTGACAGGCTTGTATGCTGACGTCAGGTAGCACGGCTTGCCGTTCGGCACCGTCGCCGCTCCGAGAACCGGGCCTGCGATCCGAGAAAAACGTGCCGTTTATGAGACATTTTATTGGTTACGTGTCATGAATGTATGAGTGGTAGCAGTACACTGATTGCGTATGCTCTACGTTCCCGTGAATCAAAGGGATAGATGTATTGTTCATACTTTCCGTCGTAATGAGAATCCTTGGCCATGACACCCTTTGATGCGGGTCAAAGTTCATGGACCGAGACACGCACCTGCCAAGAACGCGACGATGAAGACCACCGCCAATGCAAACTCTTGGGTCGCTTTCACCATGATGCCAGAAAGGGTATTCGCGCGGGAGACCGAGCGACGGCGCGAATAAACGTGCGTAGAGAGCGCACCTCGATTCAGAACGCACACGGGATTTGGTTGAAACCAGTCAGCGGGGACAAAAATGAACTCAGTCGCTAGTAACAAGCAAACCAGACTCGCGAAAACGCTCTTTCCGCTATCGGATAAGGAAGATCAACAATACCGCGAGCAATCTCGATCTGATGCTAGTATCCTGTATTACTAAGTCAAGTGAAGTGGAGGAAGATGTGGAAGTCCAAGTGATTACGCTGTGTGCTGTGCTTCTGCTGCCAGCCGCGCACCCTTTTATCCTTACTCAAGAAGCCCGTCTCTTGGGTGAGCGCGCATATGGGTACGTCGTTCAATGCACCTCCACCCCTCGCGCATCTGACGCCTCCTTGCTTTCCTCCCTGTCCACTTGCTTCCTGCTCTCGCGCCGCAATTATTGTCGCCAGCCACCCCTCACCAAACCGAGAGGCTACAATAATTGTGAAACACCCACTTTTAGCAAAATTCAGTTTTAGACAGGCAGTAAAATCATTTAGTTTAACATCTATTTGTAAGCTTATGGTCATTCTTCAGCCTTGTTTCCAGTATCTATTCATCATAAAATCAAACTTCAATGTTTTTTAATTTTCAGAGGATTTTATATTAAAACAAAGTTGCTTAAATATAACGTTGAATAATTTATTACATTGGCGCATAATTTATTGTCAGGTCTCAAATAAGCATGTGCCAAAATGCATCCTTCTCTAATGAATTTTCTCGACATTCCTTAGCGCGCCCTGCAACATTGCGTACAGCAGTAGCCGTTGTTCGCCCGTTACTGCTAACGGGGCTTCGCCGACTTCGCGCGCACTGTTTTACCAAACCTCACACTATTGGCCCGGTCGTGTCGGCCTGCGCTTCGGGAATAGCCCGAACCTTACTGCCAGCCAGGGCCTCAGATTCACTTTTAGGGTCGTCGACCCATCAGGGTACCCCTATGTAGAAACCCTGATTGACAGTGTTCCTAAAAAAAAAAGCCTGAAATATCAGTGTTGCCTTTGAAAAAAGGCTGATGCATCAGTGTTCAATAATATAAAAGGCTGTTATTACTAGAAATCTCCATTTTAATTAATAGGTCAGTAGCGGCCTTCCGAAACATTGCTAAGCTAACATGCCTCATGAATCGTCACCAGCCGTGCTATCATCACTGCCCTTAGCCTTTGGTTTTTCTCTCTCATCCTCAGCTTGGGACACCAGTACGTGACAGTGCTCTGCTGCAGCACACACCCCGTCTTCACTTCTGCTTGCGACACATACACGTTGAAGCTGCAGGTGCAGGGTTTGGGGGAGGAACCTGATTGACAGGCAGGGTGAGGCAGGGAAAGAGAGAACAGGAGGGAGAGAGGAGGGAAGACTGGCATGGTTGGGGGGGGAACGACCGGGGGAGACAGGGAGTGGACGGAGTGCGGGGTAAAGGGAGCGGGGGAATAGACAGTGGGCGCGCGGGTCATGCGCGGGTCATGCCGTCGCGCAGCACGACGCTATGCGCGCCGCCCGCGACGCAGATGGCCTTTCAACCGCGGTTCGTGCTGGCGACGAGGCAGCCTTCGGTCGTCGCCATTAGCACGAAAAACCACGCGTCGTCGAGTCGTAGCGGGCCTGCGACGCCGACGGGCATCTCGCAGGCCCGCTACGATTCGACGACGCATGCGCTGCGGATCGCGTCGAACGGGAGCGATGTGTTCGGCGAGACTAGAGGAGGTTCGGCGGCGCTCGCGATGGGTTCGATTCCAGACAGCCCGCCGTTTCTGGTGCTGGTGGCGCCATGTAATAGTGCAGACGAGAAAGCACGAGAGGAATCTGGCTGAGAGGGAGGGAGAGAGAAACAGGAGGAAAAGAAACAAGAGAGATTAGATTGGAGGGAACGGGACCATCAGAGCTCGCCAGCACAGTCAACGGTGCAGGAACCCTCGCAGCCCTCCAGCACCACATGGTTGCCACATTCTGATTAGCCAACGCTTATGCTGCAGCGAAACTGCCCAATGGAGTGCTGGCACCGCAGGAATCTGAGATTCCCGGTAATTGCGGGCAAATTCACACGGAACAAGTCAGAATTGCATTCAGTGGTAGTTTCATTACAACGTTGTGGAATCAGTTGTCAGAATATTATTCTTATGTTCTAGCCTGTAGTGGGGTGCTCTATAGCGAGTACAACCCTTCTAGGGTTTGCTATTTGTATCCCCATTTCTGCTAGTTCATTCCTCTTTTCTTTCTTCTAACTTTTGACATGCTATCAGAGCAGGTCGATCCCCCTGGATCGATCCTGTGGGTGGGCTTACCACCGCTTAGCTTCCGCTGCTACTACTGCTACTACTCTCTGAGCCGCACGCCCCGTGGCGTGCGGCATTTTTTCATCCCGCCGTGCGCCCCGAGGCGCGCGGCGGTTTTCTGCCCGCCGTGCGCCCCGAGGCGCGCGGCGGTTCATTGCCCGCTGTGCGCCCCGGGGCGCGCGACGGGCTTCTCCCCTACGTCGCGGCCCCGCCCCGATCGTCGCGGCCCCGCCCCTCGACGCGGCCCCGCTCTACGTCGCGGCCCCGCCCCGGCCCGTCGCCGCCCGTGTGTCAAAAGTTAGAAGAAGAAAGAGGGTTGAACTAGCAGAAATGGGGATACAAATAGCAAACCCTAGAAGGGTTGTACTCGCTATAGAGCACCCCACTACAGGCTAGAACATAAGAATAACATTCTGACACACCCCCATAGCCAAAGTGGGGTGTAATCAGCAGAGCAAGCAAAGCAGTACAAGCTCAGGGTGGATCACAATGTCACCACACATTCTGAGCACAAGTTCAAGAAGTAAGTTCAAGTGCACAATTATGAGCAAAGCTAGTGGTGGTCACAACGGGCAAGTGAGGAGGAGGAGTGAGAGCGAGAGGAGTTGGGAGGCGACGGCTGAAGCTGGAGACACTCGGGCAACAGGAGGCACACTGGCACAGCGGCTACCGGGCGAAGCCCCCGGAATACTGGAGTAACTGGCCCCGCGGCTAAAGTAGCGGCAGACGAGCAACGGACCCACGGGCGGCTGGCACAGCTGGCTACGACTGGGCTACCGGGCGAAGCCCCCGGAATACAGGTGCTGCTGACGAGACGACGGCAACCTCCATGCAGCTTCCCTAACTATCCAACTCCCCCAACACACACCCGCTGATACGCTCCTAGCTCCACTCCCACGCACCCCCCTTAAACCCTAAACCCGAGTCTCCCACACAACCACCCCCCTCAGCGACAGCTGCAGCAGTGGGAGACGAAGGAGGAGGAGAAGGGGACGGCACGCACAAACGACACCCCCACAACCATCACCCCCATACCCGTCACCCCCATACCCTGAGTGTGCGGTAAGCGAGCTCAGGTGTGCGTGAAGCGTGCACAAGCTTACGGGAAGCGAACTCGGATGTGCGGTAATCGAACTCAGGTGTGCGGGGAGGGGGGCCGCAGGGTGACGCGCGGGTCGACGGGGACGGGTGCACGGGTCCCCAGGGGCGGCGCGCGGGTCGACGGGGCCGCCACGAAGGGCGACCGGAAGCCGCGCGCGGGTTGACGGGGCCGCCGCGAAGGGCGACGAGGAGCCGCACGCAGGTCGACGGGGACGGGCGTGCGGGTCGACGGAACGCGAAACCGCCGCGTGCGCCCAAGGTGCGCGGTGGGCAGAAAACCGCCACGCGTCCCGAGCGCATGGCGTGCAGAATACCGCCGCGCAAAGCAGGTAACCGTCGCGCGCCTCGAGGCGCACGGTGGGCAGAAAACCGCCGCACGCCCCGAGCGCGCGGTGGGCAGAAAACCGCCGCGCGCCTCGGGGCGCACGGCGGGCAGAAAACCGCCGTGCACCTCGGGGCGCAGGGCGGGAAGAAAAAATGCCGCACGCCACGGGGCGTGCGGCACAGAGAGTAGTAGTAGCAGTTGCAGCGGAAGCAACGAGGTGGTGAGCCCACCCAGAGGATCGATCCAAGGGGATCGACCTGCTCTGATAGCATGTCAAAATTTGAAGAAAGAAAGAGGGTTGAACTAGCAGAAATGGGGATACAAATAGCAAACCCTAGAAGGGTTGTACTCGCTATAGAGCACCCCACTACAGGCTAGAACATAAGAATAACATTCTGACACCGTGCGCCTGCCCGGCTCGGCCCCGCCCTTCGTCGCGGCCCCGCCCCGGCCCGTCGCCGCCCGTGCGCCTGCCCGGCTCGGCCCCGCCCTACCTTTGCGGCCCCGCCCTATGTTGCGGCCCCGCCCTATGTCGCGGCCCCGCCCTACGTCGCGGCCCCGCCCTATGTCGCGGCCCCGCCCCAACCGTCGCGGCCCTGCCCCTCGTCGCGGCACCGCCCCCCCCCCCCCCCTTTTCTCCCCTCCCCCCCATTTCCCGTCGTCCGTCGTGGCGACCTGAGGGGGCCGCTTGCGGCCCCCTCAGGTCGCCACGACGGACGACGGGAGGGGCGAGCTGTGGGGTGGCGGGTATGGGGGTGCTCGGTGTGCCTTCCTCCCTTTGCTCCTCCTCCTCCTCCGTCTCCCACTGCTGCAGCTGTCGCTGAGGGGGGTGGTTGTGTGGGAGACTCGGGTTTAGGGTTTAAGGGGGGTGCGTGGGAGTAGAGCTAGCGGTGTAGCAGTGGGTGTGTATCAGGGGGGTGGGACTGTGTGCGAGAGGTTGAGTGGAGGTTGTCAGTTTGTCGTTCGCAGCACCTGTAGTCCGGGGCGCTGTCCCGGTAGCCCAGTCGTAGCCAGCTGTGCCAGCCGCCTGTGGGTCCGTTGCCCGTCCGCCACTATTTGAGCCGCGGGGCCTGTTACTCCTGTAGTCCGGGCGCTGTCCGGTAGCCGCTGTGCCAGTCTGCCTCCTGTTGCCCGTGTGTCTGCAGCTTCAGCCGTCGCCTCTTGTCTCCTCTCCCCTCACTCTCCCTCCTCCTCCTCACTTGCCCGTTGTGACTACCACTAGCTTTGCTTATAATTGT